AGAAATGGTTAACACAGTCATTTGTACCATGGAATATTATGCAGTCATTACAAGTAATTTCTTAGGGCCAAGCATAGTGGCTCACACCTGTAATCCCAGCACTTTGGGAGGCTGAGCCAAGCGAATCATGTGAAGTCAGAAGTTCAAGACCAGCCTGACCAACATGGTGAAACCCGTCCCTACTAAAAATACAAAAATTAGCCAGGCATGGTGGCGCACATCTGTAATCCCAGCTTGAAACTGGGAGGTGGAGGTCGCAGTGAGCCGAGATCTCACCACTGCACTCCAGCCCTGGGCAACAGTGAGACTCCATCTCAAAAAAAAAAAAAGTAATTTCTTAGATCTGTAACAATTAACTTGGAGAGATTGCCACAGTGTATTATGTGAGACTAAGATGCAGAGAAGCACAATATGTAAACCTACAATGACAACCCCACTCCATATATGTATATTCTGTATATGACTGTATGCGATTATATGAGGATGGATAAAAGGATGAAAGAATACCAAAGATTATTAACATCAGTTGGGATTGGGGAGGAACACTTTTACCTCTGCTCAAAGAGCCACAATAAAAACAGTATAAATAATAATGGTCCAATTAAAAAAAAATTTTTTTTAAGTTTTTCTTCACTTATTTTATCTGTACAACAATAATGATCCCAGGTTTATTTTATTTTTTCCTTTAAGAGATGGGATCTTGCTATGCCTAGGCTGATCTTGAACTCCTGGCCTCAAGCAATCCTCCATCCTTGGCCACCCAAAGTATTGGGATTACAGGCATGAGCCACTGCACCCAGCCATGGTCCAATTTTTAAAAGAAAATAAAATGTTTGTGCTATAATATAGGTGGGAAAGGTAGTTACAAAATTTTAGGTAGGCTTCATTAATAATTATGTAAAATATTCTAGAGAAAAAATATTAACGGGCAATCCAAACAAGTGATCAAGATAGTTGTTTATGTAGAGACATTATAGTTGCTTTGTCCCCTATATACTTTCCAAATTTTCTCTAATGTAGGTTTTTGGTTTTTTTTTTTTTTTTTGAGACAGAGTTTCGCTCTGTCCCTCAGGCTGGAGTGCAGTGATGCCATCTCGGCTCACTGCAATCTCTGCCTCCCGGGTTCAAGCGATTCTCCTGAGTAGCTGGGATGACAAGTGTGTGCCACCACGCCTGGTTAATTTTTAAATTTTTAGTAGAGTGCAGTTTCACCATGTTGGCCAGGCTGGTCTTGAACTCCTGGCCTCAAGGTATCCACCTGCCTCGGCCTCCCAAAGTGCTGGGATTACAAGCGTGAGCCACCATAGCCTGGCCTCTAATGTAGTTTTGTTGCTTTTGTAATTTACTACATAAAATTTCTAACTCACTATCCATCACACGTGTTTATTATGTCTCATGGTGGTTCATACCTGTAATCCCAACACTTTGGGAGGACAAAGTGGAAGAATTGCTTGAGGCCAGGAGGTCAAGAACAGTCTGGGCAATATGGGGAGACGCTGTCTCTACAAAAAGTGGAAAGTTAGCCATGCATGGTGGACATGCCTGTAGTCCAGGCTATTTGGGAGGCTGAGGCAGGTGGGTCCCTTAAGCCAAAGAATTCAAGGTTACATTGAGCTATTATCATGCCGTTGCACTCCAGCCTGGGAAAAGCAAGACTCTGGCTCTACAAAAAATAAAATAAAAGGAAGTCTTATGTCTTGAAATAAGTGGTCACATGTACATATGTGAGCATGTGAGCATGAGGATATTCTAGCTCAGAAAATGTGTAAGTTTTCATTTTACCTATGATATATGGGGTTTTTGTTTGTTTGTTTTCAATTAGTTGTAGATTAATGACTAAATCTCCAGGAAAAATCACCCACAAAAATCCCACAAAGGTATGGCTTTGCATATTTAAAGATTTTCTTCCCCCAAATAGTAACGGAAATCGCTTCTAAAGACCATTTTTAAAGCTGGTGGCTTTGGGCAGGCCACTTCTCTTCCCCTCCTTAGGTCTCGTTTGCTTCTTTTATAAATGAAGAACTTGGATAGAATAATGTTCTTAGAGCCTCTTTGACAGTAATATTCTGTGATTTCATTATATTCATCCAAGAATGGATTAGATGTCAAGTAAATTAACAATTGCTAAGGAGAAGAAAGTTTTCATCTTAGAAATGTTTGTATCAGCTATGAAAAAAGATTAAAGATAGTTAGGGAAGATGCCCTAGCTTGCCATAACTTTCATGCTTACGTGAAAAATGTGCAAGAGTTTAAACAGCATATGGCTTTGACTTTGGGCCTTTCTTTATATTCGTCATTTATAACCATGTAGCTATTTTCCAATGGCTTTTTACCTGTGTGTACCCTCCCACCCTGCCAACGTATTATTTTGCTTTATAAACCTCAGTATGCGAATAAAAAGTATTTTTGTTTTGGTTTGGATACACTCCATATTTTATAATAAAGTCTTTTTTTTTTTGAGACAGAGTTTTGCTCTTGTTGCCCAGGCTGGAGTACAATGGGACGATCTCAGCTCACTGCAACTTCTGCTTCCCGGGTTCAAGTGATTCTCCTGCCTCAGCCTCCTGAGTAGCTGGGATTACAGGCATGCGCCACCACGCCCGGTTAATTTTGTATTTTCAGTAGAGACAGGGTTTCTCCATGTTGGTCAGGCTGGTCTGGAGCTCCTGACCTCAGGTGATCCGCCCACCTTGGCCTGCCAAAGTGCTGGGATTACAGGCGTGAGCCACTGCGCCCGGCCTTTTCTTTTGAGACAGAGTCTTGCTACATCACCCAGGCTGGAGTGCAGTGGTTGATCTCGGCTCACTGCAGCCTCTGCTTCTCAGGTTCAAGTGATTCTCCTGCCTCAGCCTCTGGAGTAGCTGGGATTACAGGCACCTGCCACCATGCCAGACTGATTTTTGTATTTTTAGTAGAGACGGGGTTTCACCACGTTGGCCAGACTGGTCTCGAACTTCTGACCTCAAGTGATCCGCCCATCTCAGCCTCCCAAAGTGCTGGGATTACAGGCAAGAGCCACCACATCCAGCCCATAATGAAGTCTTAAATCAGCTTTCTTCAGATATAATTTATGTAAGATAAAATGCACCTAATTAAAACATACATTCAATGAGTTTTGGCAAATTTGTGCACCCGTATACCACTGACACAATTAAGCAGTAGAACATTTCTATCATCCAACAAAGTTTCCTGTGCGGCCAGGCATAGTGGCTCATGACTGTAATCTCAGCACTTTGAGCTACCGAGGAAGGAGAGTCGCTTGAGCCCAGGAGTTCGTGACCAGCCTCGGTAACATAGTGAGACTCCTGTCTCTATGAAAATAAAAAAATTAGCCAAGCATACTGACCTCCACCTGTAGTCCTACCTACTCAGGAGGCTGAGATGGGAGGACCACTTGAGCCCAGGAGTTCAAGGCTCCAGTGAGCCATCATAAGGCCACTGCACTGCAGCCTGGGCAAGAGTGAGACCTTGTCTCAAAAAAAAAAAAAAAAAAAAGTTCCCCGTGCCTCTTCCCAGTTATCCCTCCACCTCCTGCTCTAGGCAACTGTTGATCTGCATTTTGTCACTATAGATTAGATTTGTCTATTCTAAGTGATGAACAAAGTTTAAACTTGTGTTTTCTTAATCTTGGATCGTGTTCATATATTTGTGTTGTTTCAATCAGGTTTCTTAGTTGTAAGCAACAGAAAACAATCTCTGGCTGATTTAAGCAGCAGAGGAATTTGTTGAAAGGAGAGGGACAGCTTACGGAATTGCTGGGAGGCTGGAGAATCGAGTTTGGGATTCTATGGCCAGCAGCAATGCCTAAATCACATAGTACAACTGTTCTAGTGAGGAAAGCACCAAAAGTAGCACCTGGAATTTCCTAATATGTTTGTAACAGATAGTGGTCACCACCACCACCCTCGCTGCCACTGCTGTCTTAGAAGGTAGAAAGAATATCGAGTATCTGCCTTAGGAATTCTTTTTGCAACTGCCAGTGTTAATTGGGGTAGGTGCATCTGAGTGGTATGTCCTAGGCATATATCTGTCATGCCTTAGCTGCAAAGAAGGCTAGAAGAACCTGGTGCTTTCAGCCTCTATAGTGGGAGGCATCTGATCAAGTCTCATAAGGCAGGGGAATTCTTCAAACTTAGGAAAGGGTTAAAATGCTGGATGGCTGAAAAGAGGGCCAGTATCCACAACACTGACTGTATGCTAGACTGCATTCTGACTTTGCAGCTTCATGTCCAATGGTCACATCAGACATGGCCTGTTTGCTAAGCATTTCCTGGGTGCAAAGGAGTCTACCAGGTGCCGAAAGTGGGGACAAGGCTATCAAGGAACATACTATTTAATGGAATAGAAACAGATGTATTGGCCTTCATATCTGCTCAATTTTTTCTCCTTAATTTCCCTGGGGCTGGGTGTGGTGGCTCATACCTGTAATTCAGCACTTTGGGAGGCCAAGGTTGAAGGATCACTTGAGCCTAGGAGTTTGAGACCAACCTGGGCAACATGGGGAGACCCCATCTCTAAAAAAAAAAAAAAAAAAAAAATTCCAGGTGTGATAGCATATGCCTGTGGTCCCAACTATTTGGGAGGCTGAGGTGGGAGGACCGCTTGAGCCCAGGAGGTCAAGGCAGCAGTGAGCCATGATTGCATCACTGCACTCTATCCTGGGTGACAGAGCAAGACCCTGTGTGAAAAAAAAGAAAAAAAGAAAATTTCCTTAAACTATAACTTGCTAGTAAAACCGATATGTCTTAATTAATTGATTTGATCCAAAAAAGAATGTAGCATATTGAAAAACTACCCTAAATTTGAATAATGAATTTCATATGTATTCACAAAATGTATTTACCTTTATGCTAAATGTTTACTCAGTATTTTTCCTCTTCTGAAATTGCATGTATCTCAAGCTGTGTTCATTTCAATTTTTTTAAGTTAATATATGAAGTAAATCCAGTTTCTTTTGACAATTTTACCTGTTATCCTTTACTCTTGATTTGAATTGACAGGTGCAGGGAAGAGGAGGTGGCCTGAGGCAGGACGATGAGGATGCAATGTTGAAGAATAAGCTGGAGAAGAGAAGTAACCGGCACTATGGAAAAAACCAAAACAAAGCAAGGTCAGATTTTTCCCATGTCTTGTTTTAGGACTTAGGATTCAAGGAATGTAGGTTTTTGCTTTGTCTTACCACTGTCTCGAGACATGACAGTATGTTAACTATTTTCATTTCCCTATCATCATGTAATGACTATGAAGAATATAGACTGGGTGCTGAAAAAATAGGAAATGCTATTAGAATTTGGTCTGTGTTGTTATTTTATTGTTCTTAGCAATAACTTTAGGACTGCCTCAGAACAACTTGCTGGGTAAAGCCAAGACACAGATTCAACTACTAGACATCTATCATCTTCTAGACTAGCCTAGAAGCATAAGTGCTTTCTCTTTTAATCTTTACCATATAGAAACAACTATATAGAAGTAGATTCTGTTATCATCTCCAATTTACGGAAGAGGAAACAGTCATAGGGAAGTCAGGTGACAACTACAAAGTGTCAAAGTTAGGTCTGGGATCTGGATCTTTCCTCCCAAGCCCTGATTCTTGCTATTATACCAGGCTGTTGGGATATAGTATGAAATTGTCTAAATAATCTTTACTCAAGCCTATGCAGGAAGTTTGGGTAACCTCAAATCATTTGGATTTTATAGGGACAGCCTGCTGTGTGTATAAATTCTGGGCTAAGGTTATATATTATTTATGGACTTAAATACTGAGGCTGGAGGGGTTTCCTGTACCAGCATGCCTTAGGAGAACAATATACACATCCACACAACCAAATGTTTGCAACCAGGGGCTTCCTCTATAAACTGCTTGATGCATATAACGTGACACACTGGAGAAGAAGCTAAATGGATAAGCAACTAGCTGAATGTTTTACATGGATTGCCTCATCTTTATGGCCAACCAATGTGGTTCTGAAAGTGCATTCTAGGCCAACCTCTTTTTCTCCCTAGGTTGTGAATGGTTTTCTTTTCCTTTCTCTTTGCTTTTCTTTCTTTTCTTTCTTTCTTTCTTTTTCTTTTTCTTTTTTTTTTTTTGACAGAGTTTCACTCTTGTTGCCCAGGCTGGAAAGCAATGGCACAATCTTGGCTCACTGTAATCCCGCCTCCCGGGTTCAAGCGATTCTCCTGTTTCAGCCTCCCGACTAGCTGGGATTACAGGTGCCTGCCACCACACCCAGCTAATTTTTGTGTTTTTAGTAGAGACAGGGTTTTACCATGTTGGCCAAGCTGGTCTTGAACTCCTGACCTCAGGTGATCCACCCACCTTGGCCTCCCAAAGTGCTGGGATTAGAGGCGTGAGCCACCGCGCCTGGCCTGTGAATGGTTTTCTACAACCTACTACTTTCTCTGTGTGTGCCCTGTGCTTCCTGAAGTCTAGTATTATACATTACTGTTTTCTTCTGCCTGCATCTTTCCCAGAACCTTTCCGTTGACAATTCCTTCTATCAGCCTCTTGCCCAGGAGGACAGCAAGATTCCCTTAGCTGAACTTGGCAGTGACAGCAGGGCAGAGTTCAGAAGTCTGGCAAAGATCAGAGGTGGGGGAAGTAGAGGATATTTTATGCAAGCTTGCTGAGATCAGTAAGTGCCTGGTGAAGAGCCGCCTTCCTGACTGTAGAACTGTTCCCGCAGGTCAATTTCAGTTAGCCTCAAGAACATAAGGGAGACACTTCCTGCAAATTCCTTTCTGGCTATTTAGTAATCACACACCATTCAGTTTGGTTGAGAAACTTCCCTACTGTGGTAAAACGTGGTTTTCTGTTGCAAGAGAATATCAGGTAGATAACGGTTTAGTGATTAGGATGTGTGAATATGGACACCACCTACTTCAGCTCATTCTTTGTTCCTCTGGAATCATCGGTTTCTTGTCATGCAGGCACAAATGTAGGATCCTGTAAGTTTCCTTATTCCCTGCACGTATCTGGAGAGGATAGGGACAGAATGAGTAGTGTTGATTGAACAAAGCTTTTTCTCCCTGCAGGAGAGAATGAACATATGCCGGTGAATAATCCTTCCACGCAGATTTACCAGGTAAAGACAAATCGATTGTTTCGAATGCTCCCATGTATAACAGTGATGACTGACTATTCTTTACGTGTAGATGTTTTTAGCACTCACTTCCACATATATCATTGCACTTGTTCTCTTAACAGGACTGTGAGACAGGCACCTCAGTGGGTCTCGCCACTCACAGTGCACTTTGGCGATAACTGATTTTTTTTTTTTGAGACAGGGTCTTGCTGTGTTGCCCAGTCTGGTCTTTAACTCCTGGGCTCAAGCTCAGGTTCCTGAGTAGCTAAGACTATATGTGAGCACCACTGTGCCTGGCTGAGAACTCATTATTGAAAGACAAGTTATCCCGTTTATGAAATGCAGCACTATCACCCCCACCTCAACTCTGCTTCTCTTGCTTGCTGCCCCCATCGCCATGGCCATTACACTGCAAGATAACATTTCCATCAGAGAGGAGAGGGCAAGATCTGTTTTTCTTACTTTTCTATTTTAGCAGGGAGAATTGAGAATGAAAAGGGGGCTAACATTGCAAATGTTCAAATATCTGTACAGGAAAAACTTTCAAGCTCTTTTTAAACAATGGGAACAATTTGCTTTACAAGGAAGATGAAAGTTCTACAAAACATCTTTGCAGTAAGAGTCATATGAGATTGCTTTGGTCCTCTAAGTGGTATTCACTTGGCTTCTGTCTCCCAACTGTAAATTTAAAGTACATCTCTGTTCTTAAAAATCATGAAACTTTATTCTGACATAATTTGTAATATAAAAGCAGCTTGGGCTAGGGAAACCCATGCTCCTCTCCAGACTTCAGGCAGTGCTTCCTGGAATACGTGAAAAGGAAGAAAACATTGACAGAGCTTGGTGGGGGTTGGGAGAAAGGATACTTTCAAAGTTGATCTAAGGTTTTAAGCCCTGGTCACTAGGAAAAAGAGTACTCCCTCAAGCAGAAATACAGGAGTCCAGAAGAGTAGATAGTTTAGGGGAAACATTATTTAGATTTGTCTAGTTTAAGTGACGGTAAAGTGAAAATGACAACTAGTTCCCAGAATTATCATGTAAGAGATCTTTGCTGTAGACCAAACTGGAGCAAATCAACACAAGATTATGGAAACATGATTTAACCATATTGCCCCTAGACTCAGGCCAGCTATAGGATGAATGGGGGAAACAGCATCATTTCAACTGAATACACATTTATTGGGCAGTTACTAAGTGCAAAGTCTACTGCTTGGCCTCATGGCAGATTAAACAGATGAAACAGACATTCTCATTGATTTTTCTGTGTCCACACCCTGAAAAACACATAGAATAATAGTTCTTACAAGGTAGGCTGTTGAAAGGATTGTGATAGAGGCGTTGATAAAATTCTGTGGGGAAGGGATGATTTAGTATTGACTGGAGGATTTGATTTAGGTACTTAAGGACAAGTTGATCATTTGACACGTAGGTATAGGTAAGGTTGTTTTGGGCAGGGAGACTAGCTTGAACAAAGGCCTAGAAGCAAAAAAAATGGGTCTTCACTCAGTGCTGCTTTGATGCCTCACTGGTCCAAGTCCTCCAGACGCTTTCCCTGTCCACCTCCCCTCTGTTCTCATCTGACCTGTGTATGACATTTGAATGAGTGTGAGTACCTCTTTAAAGTCAGGTGTGATTTAAAGTCTATTATAGATTTTATGTAGGTCACTCCCTGAATGTTGGCTAAATATAGCTGCAGTGGGGGTGGCCTCATTATCTTATTGCACTACAAATCCTAGTACATCTGTTCGCAGTGGAACACACAAAGCAATGGAAATGAAGTTGGTCTATATGACCTCTGTGATGCTATTATAACCCATCCTTGTTTTAAAAGAACACTTCCTAAGCCCCAGTCTGTTTACTCCAAGCAACATTTAACCAAAAGAAGAAGAAGAAAGAGGAGAAGTAAAGAAAGAAGAAGAGAAGGAGAAAGGAGGGAGCTGGGGAGGAGTTTACCATAATAGAATAAGATCTATAATAGAAGGGAGGGCACCTGAAGCAAAATATAATATTTTGGTAGTTCTCTACCTCATTTTATTTTCTGGATAGATCCTATCCCTACCTGACATTATCTTATGTATCACCTTGTTTGTTTTTTAATTTTCTGTCTTCTCATCTAGAATGTAAGCTCAAAGGGCAGGAATTTAGTCCATTTTGCTCTCTGTTGTATTCTCAGTGTAAAGTACAATGCCTGGCATATAATACATATTCAATAAATATGAGTTGAATGAATGAATGGATGACTATATTACAAGATGTCTGTATTGCTTTGAGCCAAGAGGTCTCATGCAGTCATTCAGTCTTGTGCCAAACAGTGTTGGAAAGATTTTTGTCTGGTTCTTTGGAAAAAAAGAAGAGATCCTCACTTCATACCCCAATCAAAACAAATGCCAAAGTGGATTAAAGGCTTAAATATAAAAAATTCAAACCATAAAATTTTAAAATAAGTGAGTATTTATTTTGTCTCCAAATGTGAAATATCTAAGTTAAAAAGCAATGGAAGAAATCACAAAGAAAGAGATTTGAAAATTCATCCACATTACAATTTAAACTATTTCCATAAAAAAAATGTTAAACAAATTCAGAGGCAAATAACAAAATCAGAAAGACACAACAAATATTTCAAGGTTTAATTATAAATAAGTAGTTCATGAAGGTCAATAAAAATGGAAACTTCTAAAACCCTAATAGAAAATTAGCAAATAACACAGACAATTTACCAAAGTAAAATTATAGATAGCGAAGAAAAAGTTGAAGCTCAAAGAAGCAATGATTAAAATAAGGAGTATTATATTTTGACTAATTAGCAAATAATAATTAATAATATTTAGTTCTGGTGAGTGTGTGTAATTGTTAGAAACTTTTAGAAAAGTCTATTCCGTATTTCTTTTTTCTCTTATCCTTTGTCCACTGCACATACCCCTCTCAAAGTCGTTGAATCAGATCTCTTTTCCCGAGTCAGATGGTATCATTTCACCCTAGATTACTTCATTTTGCATATGGATTATTAAAATTATGATCTCATTAACATGAGAGGGGATCCCATAATTAAGGCAACAGACATAGTAACTGCACAATTTAATGCTAGCCCAACACTCACACTAATGATTTCAACTCCAACTGTGTTTTAAGCTCACTTGTAGTCTTAGGAATGTAAACACTGTGGCTTCTTCTATTTCTATTGTTTTATATATTTTATTATTCAAGGTATGTTTTTCTAAATCCATGAATTTAGGACATTACATATCACATATAATGTTTCCGAGAATATACAGCCATATTGCTATAACTTTTCAAATCCGCTGGTCAAATATAATTTGCATAGTTATTAATTAGTTGAATATATTGCCTCCCTGTGATATAGTAGCTTTCCCTTTGGGTCAAACACTACCTGACATCTTTGACCCACAGGCATTTCATATTTAGGAATTTATTCTAAGGAAATAATCTGAAATATATACAAAACTTTAAAACAAAAACATAGTATGACAGCATTAGTTGTAACATTGAAAAATTACAAGCAACATAAATTTCCAACAAAAGTGAATGGGTAGGTAAACTCTGGCAAATTCATAGGATGGAATATCATGTAGCCATCAAACGTAGACATTTAGAAAAATTTTGAAGGTTATCGTAAATGCCTTATTAGAATATTAGGAGGGAAAAAAGAGAGGTAGAATCAAAATATATCTGCAGTGTGATTTCAACCATATAAACATCTGCATTTGTATGCATAGAACAAAATAGAAGGAAATGTGAGTGTTAATGGTTGTACTGAAATAATGAAATTTGGGATGATTCTATTTGGCAATTCTCTTTTTTCTTCTTTATTTTTCTCCGTAATGAAAATAATTTAAGAAAATAAGTGATGTTCCAAAAGGACCTCTAACTGAAACACTATGGGAACCAGTCCTACAGTAATAGGTTTCATCATCAACACTGCCGTTGAAAGTTTTCTAGGATTTGTAAATCCTGATTGAGACTCAGTCTCTTTTTGCCATTGAGGAATATTCTTCTGATACTAGAGAAGTTAACTCTTCTAGGCCTGTGGTGTATCCGGGGATCAATAAGATAAAGTTCCAGCACACCAGGCTGCATGTCAGTCTCAATAAGGCCCTGCAAGAATGACTTGAAGGGTCAGCCTCTGCAGGGAATGTAGAGGAGTAGATATGGGAAGTTTACTCTCGACATTCAGATTACTTGCTCCTCACTTTCTATTTTAAATCATTGCACCTCTGGGGATCAATAAAGAGCCCTACAATTGGAAGATGGAAGTTGGCAGAAAACTCATGTTGCTTCTGCAGTGACCCTGGTTTAGGGGGGAATCCAAAGCAATTACCTTGGCCTCCTTGCCATCGTGTATGTACCACTGCGAAACACCTGGCTTTTGCTTTTATAGAATTGTAGGAATTGGGAGGTTTCCCAAACCTTGACATTTATGACTTTGCAAGGTTCCCAAGCCACAGGTCCAGTCCCCCTAATTTACCTCTTGGTAGCCTCCTGGCCTGGGTAATGTGGCAAAAAGGAAGAAATGCCCGTAAAACACACGTTGAAATTTGTGGAAATTAAGTTTGAGGCCTGAGGGATCTTTCATGAAAAAAAAAATTGGAAGACACTGACTAAAATTCATCTTAAGAAGAGTTAAGAAGCCAAGAAAAGAAAGAAAATTGAGAATCAGAAATTAAGAGCAGGAAATAGGAAGAATTCGGACTCCTCTCCCCTATTTCTTTGAGCCTAAGATGCCCTCTGTGGTACCGTAGGCTTCGAAGTACAAGTCTTCCCTGAACCTACCTCCAGTGGGAGCCCGCCTCCAGCGGCAGGATGGAGGGATCATAACCTCTCTAGAGCAGCTTCATGAAAAAATCAACGAGATGAGGAACGTGTTCAACTCGCTGGAGAACAAGGTAGACACCCGTTTCTAATCCTTGGGGTGGGCTGTGGGCTGTCAAAAAAGAAAGCTGAAGAGAGAGCAGAGAAAAGATGTTAAGACCGTGTCTTCACAGTATTTATTGTTTACAAGGGAGTGGTCAGGTCGATAGTTGAAAAGCACTCTGTAGGGGCTAAAGATACTAAGATCCCTCAGCATCTTAAAAGTGACGTGTTGTATCAGGTGTGTGTCCTCCTGACGGCTTCCCCTCCCTGGCTGGTCAGGGCTGTGAAGCTGTTTACAAAGCAGTAGCAACACTTCAGTGGCAGGTACCCATGGAGCTCAGAGTAATATGTTGGTAGGAAATGGGCACACAACTCAAAAAGAGCTTCAGAATTCCCAGAGTTCCTATGTCACCTGGCTGTTAGGGGAAATTTTAATAAGTTTTTGAGAGCTGGGGTTCTGCAGGCAGGAAGGTCCTTTTCCTAGGAGTCTGCTGCTGCCTTTTGGTCTCTGCAGAAAACTCTGCCTAAGGAAGCAAGGATAATGAAACCTATTTCTGTTGGGTAGTGGTTCCCTTTTTTTTTTCCCCCCAAGCAGGAAACCTAAGTGAATGTTACTAAGCAGAATGTCAGCTTTCCTTCTTCCAATTTTAAAACTTGCATACATTTTTGATTTGATGTTATATAGCCATCACTTTTGTTTATTTTGCTTACAGAAGATACATTTACATAATGAAAAATTACCAGATCAGAAAGTGGTTGATCTGGTGATTTAATCCACCATGATGACTGAGTTAGGATGTAAGCCAAAATCAATTGCAAAGATTCATTATAATTAAAAATGATTGAAATGAAAAATAGATTGCTCATGATGTTTCCCAGCCTTCTAGCCCCAAATACTTGACAAGCCCTGCTTTTTTCCTCAAAATGATCTCTCTGGTTCCCCTTATTTCTCTCTATTCCCAGCAATCCTTTGTAAGGCACAATGAACCACAAAATCCTATATTTTTAAAATGTGATATAGGAGACAAAGTCACTGTATAGTGAGTGGGAGGTGCCATTGCAGGTGGGAATCATGTGGATGACCTGATTCTGAAAATTTTCAGAAATACACATCCAAAGAAATTTGTTAAGGTATCTGGACTTTAGTTTTCATTCCTTTAAAGTAAAAATACTTGAGGCCGGGCGCAGTGGCTCACGCCTGTAATCCCAGCACTTTGGGAGGCCAAGGCAGTTGGATCACCTGAGATCAGGAGTTCAAGAGCAGCCCGACCAATATGGTGAAACTCCGTCTCTACTAAAAACACAAAAATTAGCCAGGTGTGGTGGCACATGCCTGTAATCCTAGCTACTTGGGAGGCTGAGACAGGAGAATCACTTGAACCCGGGAGGCAGAGGTTGCAGTGAGCCGAGATTATGCCACTGCACTCCAGCCTGGGTGACAGAGCAAGACCCTGTCTCAAAACAAGACAAAACAACAACAACAACAAGAAGAACAAAACTTGATTATAGAATAAACCTTCTAAATGGTTCTGTTTTAAAGAGACACGTGGAGCTAAGAGTTCCTCTACTTAACAGAGTGTAAGATCATAAATGTCAAGAAAGTAATGTTATTATCTTATTGTTATTATTAACTTACTGTCTGTTGAAAATGCTTTTTTCATTTGTTCAATAAATAAAACTGAACTTTAGAAGTGCTCCATTTTCTCCACATTTCTGTTTGTGCTTAACTTTTTGATTTACCATCTAAAGGGGGAGAAGAATGAACATTTCTTGAACATCTGTATACCAAGTATGTGCTATGGTAGGCCGCTTACCTATGTTTACTCATTTAATTCTCAAGGCAGTCCTGTGAAATAGATATTATTATAGCTATTTTATGGATGAGAAAACTGCTACAAAAAAGTTAACCAACGTTTCTAAGGTCTTAGTGCTTTAGGGTAGAACTAGGATTTGTACCCTACCTGATCCCAAACACCTCTTTCTTCATGTCAAAGTTGACCTACATGACCAGGACTGACTGCTGAAGATGATTCATATCACCATCAACAACATTCTGAGCTCCTACCATACCCTACCAGATATTTCTGTGCCTTCCTTATGAGTTAAAGCCCATTGTCATTGAAAATACTGTTACCTCCTTTCCCATGATATCATCTAAGAGTATTTTTTTTTAAAAAAACCTTCTTTCCTTTCAAATAAATTCTCAGTTATGCTTAGTTGTTTCTGTTTATTCTTTAATTTCTTAAGAAAACAAGAACTGAATTTCCTTGCCTCTCATAATAACCAGAGAGAATATGACACATTTTCTTCTTTCACAGAATTCAAAGAGTTATTGGATCAAGATTCACATACATGTTTCTTTTCAAGCAAATCTCATTTTAATCAAAGGTGTTAGAATAAATAGAAGCTTGTAGAAGCACTTGTAAACTTAATTAACAGCCTGTTTTCTTGTCATTTATCAAGCTTCAGCATGTGCTGTATATAAAGAAGACACTCTTTTTCTTAGATAAACGGGACCAAGGTTGTCTTAAGTTGTCCAAACTGAAGTACACTAGTAAATGAGGTCTGTAGATTTTCAGGAGCCTCATTTCTCAAACAAAAGAAAATTCAAGGGCCAATGGTGCCACTTATAATAATTTCCAGCAAATTGAATTAACTTTTCATGCATTATTTAGTTGCAGGCACTGGCCTCCGAACTCAAAACTGGCTTCACAGAAGCAATGCAAGAACTGTCAAGAATTCAACATGGAGAATATGCTTTGGAAGAAAAGGTTAAGAGCTGCAGATGTTCCATGGAAGAAAAAGTTACTGAGATGAAGAATTCATTAAACTATTTCAAGGTAGGCCCCTCTTTAATTTCCCTGCTGACAAAAGAATTTTGGTCTCAGTAACAGGAGTAGAAAACTTGCCTTTTTCTGGCTGGGCATGGTGGCTCACACCTGTAATCCCAGCACTTTGGGAGGCCAAGGCCAGCGGATCACAAGGTCAGGAGTTCAAGACCACCGTGGCCAATATGGTGAAACGCTGTCTCTACTAAAAATACAAAAATTAGCTGGGTGTGGTGGTGGGCACCTGTAGTTCCAGCTACTTGGGAGGCTGAGGCAGGAGAATCACTTGAACCAGGAAGTAGAGGTTGCATTGAGCTGAGATCATGCCACTGCACTCCAGCCTGGGCGACAGAGCAAGAATCTGTCTCAAAAAAAAAGAAAAAAGAAAACTTGCCTTTTTCCATAGCAGTCAAATATAAGAATTTTTCCTCTGGGCCATTCATAGTTATCATGGAAAAATATCTTTCATGTTTTCTTTTTTGTAGCTCTGTGTTAAAATTTGATGCCACAATGGAAGTATAAATTTTTTAAATCTCTCATTCATTCAATAAGTATGTATTTAAAGTGTACAGTGTGCTAGATTATGTGATATACTTTTACCCCACATATAACCCATACATTACCCATAATAACCTATCAGATATTGAGAACCAGCAAAACCTTGTCTTTGTTTCATAATGATAGTTGTCTGGATACTTCTAAATTTCAATTGAATTAAAAATAATTTATTGTACAGTCAATACTGTGCTAACCCATGTACCACGTTAAAACATAGCAATTCTTATTTTTTTAGGAAGAACTGAGCAATGCCATGTCGATGATCCAAGCCATTACCTCCAAACAAGAAGAAATGCAACAGAAAATCGAACAGCTTCAACAGGAGAAGCGAAGAGAATCTCGAAAAGTTAAAGCCAAGTGAGTGTCTTTTAAAAATGTACCAAAGGCAAACCTATAAGCAATGGCTTCTGCAGAGGCACCCGGAACACCTTCCCCACTCTCAGTATACAGCCTGCTGGCCACTGTGCTCCACAGCTCGGCATGCAACGGAGGTTATAGAATTATAAAATGGGTTAATACCAAAGACAGATGGTACCTATTACATAGAAAAATCCATTTAATATGATATGTAAAATGAAAGTGACATAAAATGGCATGAATGCTTTGATTACAAGTATAAAAATACATAAAATAACAACTAGAAAGATACACTTAAAAATAATGATAGTTGTGTTAAGATAGTGGCACCATCAGTGATTTTCTTTTTTTATTAATTTTGTAAAATGTCTCTAATGCGATTATTATTTTAATTCTAGGGTTGAAAATAAATTTATGTTAAACGATGTCTGGACCAGGTTGAATCAAGTAAAGTTTCACCATTAAACATATATAATCTTTATTGTCACTTATGTGATTGTGGTTTTGTTTTTCCTTTTTTCTTTCTTTTTTTTTTGGAGACAGAATCTTGCCCTGTTGCCCACGCTAGAGTAGTGGTATGATCACAGCTCACTTCAGTCTTGTACTCCTGGGCTCAAATGATTCTCCCACCTCAGTCTCCTGAGTAGCTGGGACTATAGGTGTGGCCCCCATGCTAGCTAATTTAAAAAAAAAAAAATTGTAGAAATGGGGTTTCCTTATGTTTTCCCAGGCTGGTCTTGGACTCCTGGGCTCAAGTGATCCTCCTGCCTCGGCCTCCCAAAGTGTTGGGATTACAGGCATGAGCCACAGTGCTCAACTTACGTGTTTTTAATATTATCAAATTGAAAATAGAAATGTAGGAATAATATGTGTGTGACCTTGGAGAATAGGTTGTTTTCAGGAGAGGATTTGCTGCTTCCTGGTACTTTTGAATTGCATTGCTAAGCAAACATAAATCATTTCAAGCAAATTGTCACCACTGCAAACTCTAAAGATCCCGATGAGAAGGAAGCCAGTAACAAAAAAATAAGAATGTGGATATTATAATTAGAAGGGTGATTTGTAAATATTTGAAGTTTTTTCTCCAGCTGAGGTGATGAATTAAGTTGAACCATATGAATTGCTAGTATTTGACCACTTTTAATTTTCAAAAATAGCAATTTATATAGTTCAACCTAATAATTCAGACATTTTCTTGAGTTGTTCTGAACTGAATCTCCTCGTAACCTATCAGATATTAAGAACCAGAATAGCCTTGTCTTTGTTTCTCTTTCCTAGGAAAACTCAAAAAGAAGAGCACAGCTCCCAGGCCGGGCCTGCCCAAGCACAAGGAAGTCCTTTTCGTTCAATCAATATCCCTGAGCCTGTTCTTCCAAGCGAAGACTTTACCAACCTTTTGCCTTCTCAGGCCTATGAAAAAGGTACAGTTCACAAATCATACTGAATTAATCAAGTATTTTTTCCCTGATTCCTAGGGCTTAAGAATGGGCTTAAACCCTCCATCTTTGTTAAAAGAAAATGGTGTATTGCGTAGAATTTTTCTGCTTGTAACTGAAATTTAGAAGAATCCAGAGGATCTAAGAGACCACAAGAGTCTGCCCAATTTTAAATATTTTTTTTTTAGGGGGGCAGAATACTAATCTGGATACTTCTAAATTTCAACTGAATTAAAAATAATTCATTGTACAGTCAATACTGTGCTAACCCATAAGAGAGAAATGTTAGAAAAAATATCACTTACTCTAATAAGTTATTTTATTGGCAGTCTAACTCAGCACCTGTCTTTCTCTGGAAAACCAGAGCTGATGCTGCCTATGGGCTGAAACAGTCACCACTCTTATTCCTGACCTTTGGGATGTTAGAACAGATATTTAAAAATGGTACCGAAGAAACTGGCTTTCCAGTGGAGGTCTGAGTTTTGGTTATTAACTTATGTTCAACTCAGGAAAAGTAAAAAACAAACAAACAAAAAAATCTGCCACGTCTTTGTATCCTCAACCATGTCTACCAAAGCACCTGTAGACAGAAAAATAAATGTAGATATTAACATTGTTTAGATGACATTTCCTCTTATTTATGGTCTCACGTAGAAAGTCCTCAAGACAAAGACTCAATGATTTCTCAACCAACTGTCAGTGTGTCAAAGGCAGGGTTGGTGGTTTTCTATCCTTAAGACTAATGGAACAATTTGGTTTATACACTCATAGACAATGTGTATTCTGAATAACTGAATCTAAAAATCTAAATCAAGTGGCTTTTAATTGTTATACTTAGAAGTAGAGATTTACCTTTTTAATTTTTTTTTTTTTTTTTGAGATAGAGTCTCGCTCTGTTGCCCAGGCTGGAGTGCAGTGGCGAGATCTCAGCTCACTGCAACCTCTGCCTCCCAGGTTCAAGTGATTCTCCCGCCTCTGCCTCCACCTCCCAAGCAGCTGGGACTACAGGCATCACCATGCCTCGCTAATTTTTTGTATTTTTAGTAGAGACAGGGGTTTCACCATGTTGGCCAGGCTCGTCTCGAACTGCTGATTTCAAGTCATCCACCCACCTCGGCCTCCCAAAGTGCTGGGATTACAGGCGTGAGCCACCGTACCTGGCCTGTCTTTTTATTTTTATTTTTTTACCTGTTTGAGTAATTCATTGAGAGACTGATAGGCGTAGCCTAGGAAAACTCACTTGATCCATCTGGGGACTGGGTTCATTGCAGGTGGCTCTATTTTCTTTCCTCTAGGACATGAACAGCTCTACATAAAAGGATGATCCTATCTGGGAAAGAGTATAGTATAGGATAGGCTTAGAATGTAAAAGTCAGTTCAATGCCAGTCTGGAGCAGCTAAACATGTTCATAAGATAAAAGGTTAAAAATTATCTTTACAAAGTAAATTTGTGCATGTTTAGACAATGTGTAACAGCCCCCAGGGACATGAATAATCACAGAATGTGTTGAATCCACTGAAAACAGCTGATCCAGATGATTTTAGTGCCCACATGGATTTCAGTGAACTATTTAGTGGCAATTCCTCCTTCCTTTCCTCCTGTATAGACATGGTCATAGTTTATTCTCCTGAGTTGCTGCAGAAATTTAAGAATAATGTGCCATGATAAGACATTCTGCACATACTTGGTGGCAGATTGTGTTAAAACTCAGGGGTCAAGAACCAAAAACTCAGAAAGTCTTGGCTTATCCACTGTTAATGATAAAATGGTACAACTGTTATCTATTGTCCCAAAATTCAGTAGCTTAAAATAGCAAACATTCATGGTTCACAGTTTCTCTGAGTCAGGAATCTGTGCACAGCTTAGCTGAGTGCCTCTGGCTCAAGGTGTCTCATTAAGGCTGTAATCAAGGTGCTGGCCATGGCTCTCATCTCACGTGAAGGCTCTACTCACGGGTGATCTACACCAAGCTTACTCGGTTATTGGCAGGCTCCAGTTCTTGTAACATGGGCCTCTGCAAGTTGCTGCCTTACAATTTGGCAACTAGCTTCTCCCAGGGCAAGTGATCTAAAAGAATGCTCAATACAGAAGCCACAGTGGGCTTTTTTTTTGTTTTTTTCCTTTTTTGAAACAGAGTTTTGCTTTTGCCGCCCAGGCTGGAGTGCAATGGCACGATCTCAGCTCACCGCAACCTCCACCTCCTGGGTTCAAGCAATTCTCCAGCCTCAGCATCCTGAGTAGCTGGGATTACAGGCACCTGCCACCATGCCCTGCTAATTTTTGTATTTTTAGTAGAGACGGGGTTTTGCCATGTCTCTGGTCTCAAATTCCTGACCTCAAGCGGTCTGCCCACCTTGGCCTCCCAAAGTGCTGGGATTACAGGTGTGAGGCACCATGCCCGACCCACAGTCTTTTTAGAACCTAATCTTAGAAGTGGTATTCTGTCTTTTCTGCCATATTCTATTAATTAGAGGCTAATCAGTAAATCCAGCCTTTACCTTAGGGGAAGGATAACATAAGGGTGTGAATGCTAAGCGTGGGGATAATTGGAGCCATCTGGAGCTGCTTACCACAAATGGCTGATGGCTCCCGTCTGAGAAGGCAGCCAATTTATGTGAACCCTGATGCAACAACTTCATTTATGTGCCTGATAATTGTAGAACTTGTCAGTTTGAAAACGTCATTTTACAGGCCCAAGTATACCTTTCCTTTAGGTTCCTTTCCCCACCCAAGAAACTCTCAAGATGTTTAGCCTCCCTACTCCTGATATATTCTTGCTTGAGAAAATTGAAAACTAATTTTGTTGAAAGATATGCTTTTATTATCCATCTCTTCTTTCTTACCTCCCATTTATTCTACCTGTTCAATATTGGCTTTCATCCTTACCACTTCACTAAAATGGTTTCCTTACCTCTCCTGATAGTTTTTGGTACCCTTGATACCCACCTTCTTGAAACATTCTCTTCTTTTAGCTGACACTGTGCTTCTTTGATTTTCCACCCACTTTCTGGATGCTCCTTTTTAGATTCTCTTTGATTCCTCATCACCATCAGAATAAAGTCCAAGTTCCTTAACACAGTACATGGCCATGTTTAACTTGCCTCTGCTTTTCTCTTCAGACTTATATTTTGTTACCCTTGACTTCTCTCTCTGCATTCAAGCCCCCCTGACATTTTCCCTCCCTCCCCCCTCCCTCTCTCCCCCCTCCTTCTCTCCCTCCCTCACCCTCCTCTCCCTCCCTCCATCCAAGGCACTGTTTTAGGTGTTAAGATATAGGAATGAACAAAACAACAAAAATTCCAGCCTTCATGGAGCCATTTCTCTGAGGCAAGCAGACAATAGACAAGATGAGTAAGATATGTAGTATGTTAGAGAGTGATAAGTTAAGTAAAAAAAAAATAAGTAAAGAGGAATTGTCATTTTAAATAGGGTGCCAGGCAAAGACCTGAAGGAAATGAGAAAGTTCGCTTATGGCTACTGAGGGGAAGAGAAGGAACAGCCAGTGCCAGGGTCCTGTGAGAATATGACTGATGTGTTCAAGGAATACCAAGAAGACCAGCGGGAGTAAAGCAGAGTGAACCAGGGAGAAAACAGGAGGTGCAGTTAAAAAAAAAAGAAAGAAACAGCAGGCATGAGTTGGGAGCAGATATTCCAGGGCTGTATGATCATTGTAAGGGCTTTGGCTTTTACACTGAAATGGGAGCCATTGGAGGGCTACGCAGAGAAGTGATAGGGTCTGGTTTACTCTTTTTTTTGAGAGAGGGTCCTGTTCTGTCATCCAGGCTGGAGTGCAGTGTCACAATCTTGGCTCACTGCAGTCCCAACCTCCTGGGCTCAAGCGATCCTCCTATTTTAGTCTCTCAAGTAGCTGGGACCACAGCACACACCACCATGCCCAGCTAATTTCTCTTTTATTTTTTGGGGGGTGGGGGGCGGGGGGCGGGTAGAGACGGAGTTTTGTCATGCTGCCCAGGCTGGCTTACATTTTAACAGTACCATTCTGCCTTTCTTTTATTATTACCATCATACCACTGTCACCACCATTATAGTTAAACAACTATTTAACTCTTACAATATGCCAGGTAGAACTTCAAGCAGTTTACAAATACTAACTTATTTATTTTTGTTGTAATCCTTGAGGTAAGTACCACTATTGCATCTTTTTACAGCTGAGAAAATAGCACTTGCTACACGATACTGTAATTTCTTTTTCTTACTGCGCTGCCTCCCCCATGAAACTGTAGAATCTCTGAGTCTGCCCCCAGTGCCTGGCTCATGGAAGGTGCTTAGTCCATGTTAGTGGAACAAATGCTGAATGAATGCTTTCCTTTCTCTGCAGCCCAAGAGTCCAGATCTGTTCATGTAGGAGACAGTAATGTGAAGGGAATGATGGGTCCTGGTAAGTGGCTCTTCTCTTAGTTTTCTTTTCTTCCAAGCAATTCCATTCTTTTCCTCTTCTATCTTCCCTGCGTCCACTTCCTCAGTTTCAAACCAGGCATGAAAGAACTCACAAAAGATAAAGTTACGAAGTTACAAAGATTCCAAGATGTGTACTAGAGCAGGTCAGTGACTCATTTGAACCCAAGGAGAGAGAAGGGCTAGGGAAGGTTAAGACAAAACCAGTATGTTTTATCCTTTCTGGCTTATTTCAATGACTAATGAATTCATATTTGCCAAAAACTTGCAGGTTAATGTAGCATGACGTAAGTTTTCCATGGATCACACACTGTATAGTTTAATTCAAAAGTTATTTACTTTTACATCTGTGTAGTGCAGGTAATAAAGAAAGGACTAAATAATGGAAAACAAACAAAAGAAGATAAAAGACAACAAAATTTTAAAAAGGATTTACTTAATTGACAATTCATCAGAATTTTATAAATTATTTAATCTTCCCTCTCTCCTTCCTTTCTAGCATTAGGATCAACGGGAAAATGCCCAAAGAAGACATTGTTTTTGGCACCCTTCCTCCTCCTCTTTCTGTGTTCTCTTCTCAGGAGTGCTCCAGCATCGGTGTGCTCACCTGAAAGGAAGCAGATATAAGGAGTCAATCCATACTATAAATTAGCTATACTATTTGATAAATTCATTTTTAAAAACTCCTTATTTAGTAAAGACTATGTATAAAGCATAGAGGATGTATAGACCAGAAACAGAGGGGACCCCATGCAGCTGTGTACACTTTTAATCCTTAATTGGTATATTTAATCCTCAGGGGATAGCTGTACCCAAACAAAGGCAGATTCATTAAGAGTTAGTAACAAGGCCGGGTGCAGTGGTTCATGCCTGTAATCCCAGCACTTTGAGAGGCCGAGGCAGGTGGATCACTTGAGGTCAGGAGTTCAAAACCAGCTGTGCCAATGGTGAACCCTTGGTCTACTAACAAATACAAAAATTAGGCTGGGGTGGTGGCACACAGCCTGTAATCCCAGCTATTTGTGAGGCTGAGGCAGGAAATTCACTTGGACTGGAAGGCGAGTGTTGCGTGTAGAGCCGAGATGGCCCAATTGCACTCCGCCTGGCAACAAAAGTGAAAAACATCTCAAAAAAAAAAGAAAGAGTAACTTTTTTTTTTTTTTTTTTTTTTTGAGAACAGAGTCCCACTCTGTCACCCAGGCTGGGTGCAGTGGCACAATCTTGGCTCATGCATCCTCTGCTCCCAAGTTCAAGCCATTCTCCTGCCTCAGGCCTGAGTAGCTGGGTTACAGGCACCGCCACCCATGCCCAGGATTTTTGTAGTTTTTAGTAGAGGACGGGTTTCACCATGTTAGCCAGGATGGTTCCGATCTCTGACTTCGTGGATCGGCTGCTGCGGCCTCCCAAAGTGGTAACAACTCTCTTTTAAAAAGATTGTTGCTGCTTTTGTTTGTTTCCCTGCCCCACCCCCCAACCCACCAGGAGGTGAACCCAACACTCCAGAGCAGAAGAAAACCTCAAGTCTTGCCTCTCAGCTGATATCAGTCCAAGGGCCATCTCCCATCTGGCGATGGGAGGCAGCCTAAGGATGGTAAAGAATGGGGTGAGAATACGTCGAAAGACCACCAGATAAACTCAAGGAGGCTGGCCAGGGTAGACACAGCTCCTTGGAAACGTTTTTGTGAAACCTCCTTAGACTGGTAAGTTCCAAGGGGGAATGCAGGCTGATAGCTTAAGAACGGGATGTACAGAGTTGAACTCAAGGTGAGAATCCTTGCAGTTCAGATTCAGTGACACATGGAGGCCACCGAATTCGTCTGGTTTCCTTTCAGTGAACTAAAGCCTATAGAGGTAAAGGGACTCATTAGAGGTCACAGGGTCAGGGAGTACCACCTTTGATTCTGCGTGTTCAAGACACTTAGTAATGGGGACGTGCTATGGGGGGGAAAAAGGCATAGATTGGTGGAGGAAGAAGGCAGACTATTTAGCCAGTGCATGTAGATTTTAGAAGCAAGCCTTTCATCAACAGTCTACACCAAATATCACACACTGCAAGAGAACCGTGCTCCTCCTTTTTCCCTCCTTCCTTCCCTTCATATCAAAATCCTTGCTGAACGCACTTACTGTGTCAGACAATGGCATTTCCCTGGCATTTGGGGGAGGTAATTTTTAAACATTATTTTGAATTTTTTAAATAAATACTATAAAGTCAAATAGTTAAAAGGTTGTTTATGAAGAAGAGTGCCAACAATTTTAAACTCTTTGACAGTTTTTTCTGGTATTGTTCCATGTTTTTTTGGGGACATGGGGGAGGGAGAATGGCAGGCTCAGGCTGGATAACGCAGTCTCTTGTGCTTCTATGTTTTTAAAATATGTTTAGCCAGGCATGGTGGTTCACACCTGTAATCCCAGCATTTTGGGAGGACAGGGGCGTGGAGATCGTTGGGCTCAGGAGTTGGGGCCAGCCTGGAACATAGTGAGACCCTGTCTCTACAAAATAAAAAAACAAATTAGCTGGGCCTCCTGGCATGTGCCTGTGGTGTGCTACGTACGTGGGAGTCCAAAGGTAAGGAAGGGATCACCTTGAGCTCGCAGGCGGTCAGAAGGCTGCATTGGCTATGAAGTTGCCACTTGCATCACGGCCTAGCAACGAACAAAGAGCCCTATCTCAAGAAAAAGAAAAAATTTGACACTATTTTTTTTTTACTAATACTTTATTGAAGATGAATTTACATAGAGTAAAATTCACAGAGCTTACATTTAAGCTAATAGACATTTTACATGTGTCTATCCCCTGTGATCACCACCCAGATCAAGATATACATATTTCTGTGCATGAAAGAATCTGAGAAAGTTATTTCATGCACTTTGCCGGTCAATATCCACCCAAAGAACCACTATTGTGACTTCTAGTACTACAAATTAGTTTTGTCTGTTCTTAAACTTCATGTAAATGGAATAATATGGTGTGTACTCTTTTGTGTCTGGCCTCTTTCTCCCAACATAATGTTTTTTAAAAAAAGATTTATGCATATTTTTGCATACAATTCATTCCTTTTTATTAATCACATTGAATGAATTTATCACATTTTTAAAAATCCATTCTCCTGTTGATGGACATTTTTTTTTTTGAGACAGAGTCTTGCTCTTTCACTGAGGCTGGAGTGCAATGTCGTGATCTCAGCTTCCTGCAACCTCTGCCTCCTGGGCTCAAGTGATTCTCCTGCTTCAGCCTCCTGAGTAGCTGGGATTACAGGCATGCACCAGTGCATCTGGCTAATTTTTGTATTTTTAATAGAGACAGGGTTTCACTGTGTTGGCCAGGCTAGTCTCGAAATCCTGATATCAAGTGATCTGCCTGCCTCGGCCTCCCAAAGTGCTGGGATTACAGGCGTAAGCCACCATGCCTAGCTAGCTATGAATATTCTTGTACAAATTTTTTTTTTTTAGCGGGTGGATATATGCCCTCATTTCTCTTGGGTGTATAACTAGGAGTGAAACCTTTGGGTTGTAGGTTATGATTATGTTTACCTTTAAAAGAAAATGCCAAGCAGTTTCCTAAAGCAGTTGGCTAATACTCCCACTAGCAATGTATGAGAGCCCAGTTACTTCACATACTTTCCAATACTCTGGAAGGATGTTTAATCTTTTCCATGTTAGCCATTCTCAGGGAGGTGTACTGGTATCACACTGTAGTTTTAATTTGCATTTGCCTGGTGATTACTGGTATTAAGTATGTTTTTGTATGCTTATTGGCTATTCATATATCTTCTTTTATAAAGTGCCTAAGTAAGTCCATTGCCCAACTTTTTTTGAGGCAAGGTCTTGCTTGTTGCCCAGGCTGGAGTGCAGTGGCACGATCACAGGTCACTTCAGCCTTGATCTCCTGGGCTCACGTGATTCTTCCTTCTCAGCCTCCTAAGTAGCTAGGACGACAGGTGTGCACCACTGCACCCAGCTGTCAATTTTAAACTCTTAAAATAGCTCGTGACTTTCTTGTCTTTCTAGGAAATATTTGCTATTTCACAGTTGTGAAGATACTCTGGTATGCTTTCTTCTAAAATCTTTATAGTTTTAGCTTTAACATTTAGATCCATGACTTATCATGAATAAATTTTGATGTACAGTGTGAGAAAGGGCTCCAGGTTCATTTTTTTTCCCCCGATGGCTATCCAGTTGTTTCAGCACCATTAATTGAAAATACCTTCTGTTTCCCATTGTTGCATGCAGAAAGTCAAGTGGTCTTATATGGGTATCTAATTTTAGACTCTCTTTTTAAAAATTCCAATTATCAGGTAATTGACATCTTGACAGTATTGAGTCTTCCATTTGAAGAACATGGTATATCTCTTCATTTATATAGATCTTGAATTTTTCTTAGCAATATAACAGAAACTTTACTATTTACATCATCAATGTTTTTAGTTTTTAATTTATTTTTATCCATTTAGTTTTTAAGAGGTGGGGGTTTCCCTTTGTTGCCCAAGCTGGCCTCAACATTCTGGGCTCAAGTGATCCACCTGCCTCAGCCTCCCAAGTAGCTGGCACTACAGACACAAGTCACTATGCCCAGCCATCTTTTTTTTTTTTTAAAAGAGCATTTGCCTCCGTCATCCTATTCTGCTTTGGCCCAATGTACTGCCATCATCCTGGGACTTTCCAGTCTTCTTAAGAATTCCCTTTATATTTCTCCTCTGTTCGATTTCTGTTTCTGTGTTGCTGTTATTGATTTTTTTCATCTTCTGTATCCTTGGTTTCTTGGTTTACTTCCGGTTTTGGTGGAACACATCATCCAGTAGCTTCTGCATATGTAATCACTTGGCGGGTCCTTCTTACCAGCTTGCTGTGCAGGTGGAGCTGACTTACTGCAACTGCTGTATTGCAATTGAGAAAGAGTTGAATAAACATACAGCAAGCTACGCAGCAGACTGGAGTTTATTATTCAAATCAATCTCCCTGAAAATTCAGAGACTGGAGATTTTTTAAGGATAATTCGCTGGGCAGGGGGTTATGGAATGGGTGCTGTTGATTGATTGCAGATGAAATCACAGGGATGTGGTCCTCATATGCTGAGTCAGCCTCTGGGTGAGGGCCACAGGACTGGTTGAGTTATGGGTTGTGGGTCCAGGTGGAAACAGTCAGCTTCCAGAAATGGAAAAGTCTGGAAAAATGTCTCAAAAGACCAATCTTAGGTTCTACAGTAGTGATGTTATCTATAGGAATAACTAGGGAAGTTACAAATCTTGTGACCTCCAGAACAATGGCTGATTATCATTTAACTATGCTTACATCTCAGTGTAATTCATAATATGAATTTATAATTCATAATCTTAACCTTCTGACCTTTCATTAGTTTTTCAAAGCTAGTTTGGGTACCAAATTGGAGGGCATGGGGTTAGTTTTGGGAAGGGCTATTAGCATCCTTGCTTTAAGTTGAATTATGAACTAAATTGCTCCCAAAATCTCAGTCTATGCTCAGGAATGTACAAGGGCAGCTTGAAGTTAGAAGCAAGATGGAGTCAGCTATGTCAGATTTCTCTTGCTGTCATAATTTTGCAAAAATGTTTTTACATAGTTGATTAATAATTTGGCCAAATATGACATCTTTTTTCCTCATGATTTTGAAGCAATTGTTCCACTGTCCTCTACCTTCTAATTTTGCTATTAGGAAGTCCAGTACCATTCTGATACTCAGTTTTTTGTATGTTACCTAATTTTTCTTTTTCTTTCTTTTTTTTTTTTTCTTTCTGAGATGGAGTCTCCCACTGTCACCCAGGCTAGAGTGCAGTGATCTCAGCTCATTGCAACATCTGGCTGCCAGGTTCAAGTGATTCGCTTGCCTCAGCCTCCCGAGTAGCTGGGACTACAGTCGCCCACCACCACACCTGGCTAATTTTTGTAGTTTTAGTAGAGACGGGGTTTCACCATGTTGGGCAGGCTGGTCTTGAACTCCTGACCTCGTGATCCACCCGCCTCGGCCTCCCAAAGTGCTGGGATTACAGGCGTGAGCTACCATGCCCAGCCCGTTACCTGATTTTTCTATCTGGTAACTTTTAGGATCTTCTTTTTGTTCGTGGTGTGCTAAAGTTTCACAGTGATGTAATATGCCTTATAATGATGTGAGTCTTTTTCATTAATTTTGCTGGGCACAAGGGTCCTTTTCTCTGGAAATACATGTCCTGGGAATTTTTTTTTTCCTGTTATTAATTTGATAATATCTTCTCATCCATTTTCTTTCTTTTCTCTGAAACTTCTACTAATTTGATGTTGGACCTCTTGGATTGATTTCTCAACTGCTATCTTTTGCTCTTCTCTTTTTCTTCAATACACCTCTTTCTTATTTTTTTTTTTCTTTTCTTTTCTTTTTTGAGACGGAGTCTTGCTCTGTCACGCCCAGGAGGACTGTAGTGGCACGATCTCAACTCACTGCCACCTCTGCCTCCCAGGTTCAAACTATTCTCCTGCCTCAGCCCCCTAAGTAGCTGGACAACAGGCACACGCCACTACGCCCAGCTAATTTTTGTGTTTTTAGTAAAGACGGGGTTTCACCATGTTGGCAAGTCTCGATCTCTTGACCTTGTGATCTACTCATCTCGGCCTCCCAAAGTGCTGGGATTATAGGTGTGAGTCGCCGCTCCTGGCCCCTCTTATCATTTTTATTTTTTAAGAAAGGGAGATTTATTTTACTTCATCTTCTACCCTTTTAATTTTTTCTATCTTTTAAGCAATGTTTAAAAGTTTCTCCTTTTTAAAAATTAGCCTCTCTTTTTAAAAATAGTATCCTGCAATTGTTAAATGACTGGAATATATTTCTTATATTCCTTTGAGAATATGAATTGTAAGATTAAAAATTTTTATTCTTTTGTATCCTGCATTGTCTCTGTTTCTTCAGGGTCCTCCCTCCTTATAAAAAAATATGTGTGTATATGCTTTTTTCTTCTCATTCTTTTATGGTATAAGCTTTATTCAAAAGTGTGAGCATTCTTAGCTAAATATATGTAAGAAAGAGCTCTTAGAAAAACTCTGGAAATTTTGTATTGGCCAAGCTTGTCAGTCAGTGGGCTTCATTATGGATAGGCTAATCAGATGGCAAATTAACTTTTGATAGTTGACCTCTTTTTCTTTTTTCTTTTTTTTTTTTTTTTGAGACGGAGTCTCGCTCTGCCGCCCAGGCTGGAGTGCAGTGGCCGGATCTCAGCTCACTGCAAGCTCCGCCTCCCGGGTTTACGCCATTCTCCTGCCTCAGCCTCCCGAGTAGTTGGGACTACAGGCGCCCGCCACCGCGCCCGGCTAGTTTTTTGTATTTTTTAGTAGAGACGGGGTTTCACCGTGTTCGCCAGGATGAGTCTCGATCTCCTGACCTCGTGATCCGCCCGTCTCGGCCTCCCAAAGTGCTGGGATTACAGGCTTGAGCCACCGCGCCCGGCTAACCTCTTTTTCTTTTTTGAGACAGAGTCTTGCTCTGTAGCCCAGGCTGGAGTGCAAGGGCGCGATCTCAGCTCACTGCAACCTCCACCTCCTGGGTTCAAGCAGTCCTCCCGGCTCAACCTCCTGAGTAGTTGGGATTACAGGCATGTGCCACCACGTCCGGTTAATTTTTGTATTTTTAGTAGAGATGGGGTTTCACCATGTTAGCCAGGCTGGTCTCGAACTCCTGACCTCAGGTGATCTACCCGCCTCGGCCTCCCAAAGTGCTAGGATTACACAGGTGAGCCACCGTGCCTGGCTGATAGCTGACCTCTTTATATCAGTGTCTGTGGATCTTTTTTCCTTGGGCAGTTCAGTTTCTCAAGTGGAAGACCCTCCAATCTCCTGCCTGAAGAGTTTAAACCTGGCTGCTGCTGGCACTCTGGGATCTACAGGGGAAGGAGGCTGAGGGAAGTCTCGCTGTTCAGTATGAAGCCTTCCCTGAGTCCCTTTGTTTTCATTTTAGCATCTGAACTCTACTATGTCGTAAGTCTTTAGCCCGGATCCCAGAAACCAGGGCTTGTCTAGTTTCATTTTTCTTGTTTGCCGTGGAGAGGAAGTGAGGAAGCCATCTGGTATGGGGGTGAGGATCTGGAGGTTCAATTGCCCCATATGTAGACTTTCGATGATTGCTCCTGCTTTCAGCATTGCCACTTATTTGCACTATCTATATTGCCCCTGGTGTCTCCAGTCCTTGAGCTTTCCAGATGCTTCTCAGCAGATTTTCCAGCTGCAGATGGGGACACCAAGACTTTGTGCCCTTTGCTCTGCTGAATGAATTATGGTGCCTCCATTCTGCTTTCTACCTTTCAAAAACTTGCAGATGGGTTTTTTTTTTTTATTGTTTTCAATATCCTTTTATCGCTTTTATTGCTTGCATTTAATGGGATTTTAGGAAGAAATGGTTAATATCAAGTCCTTCTTTGGTTTGTTTCTAAAGCTAAAAGACAGACTGTGGCCCTGGAACTGCTTGAATCTGAAAGAAAATATGTCATTAACATCTCTCTGATCTTGAAGATAAAAGCCACATTCCAGGGGTCAGATGGAAAGAGGAATTCCAAAGAGAGAAGGTATCCATGCACTCATTGCCTTTGCTTTTCAGATTGATTAGGATTTAAGGTAAGTGGTTTATTGTTTCCACTTTGGGATTTCTGGGGCCTATAAAGAGTTCCAGAAACAGTCTTTGAAAAGACAAGAGGCAGTGATGGCAGGTGTCTCGGTTCACTTTGTGCTGCTATGAGAGAATATCATAGACTGGATAAGTTATAATGAACCGAAATTTCTTCTCTCACAGTTCTGTAGACTGGGAAGTCTAAGATCGAGGCGCTGGCAGATTCAATCTCTGGTTCCAAGATGGCACTTTGTTGTTGTGTCCTCCAGAGAGGAGGAACATTGCAGCCTCACATGGCAGAAGAGCAGGAGAGAGCAGGAGAACCCACTCCCTCAGGCCCCTTTTGTAGTGGCAATAATCCATTCACAGGGCGGAGCTTTCACGACCTAAACGTAATCCATTCACGGGGCGGAGCTCTCACGACCACAACGTAATCCATTCACGGGGCGGAGCTCTCACGACCTCAACGTAATCCATTCACGGGGCGGAGCTCTCACGACCTCAACGTAATCCATTCAGGGGCGAGCCTCTCACGACCTCAACGTAATCCATTCACGGGGCGGAGCTCTCACGACCTCAACGTAATCCATTCACGGGGCGGAGCTCTCACGACCTAAACATAATCCATTCACGGGGCGGAGCTCTCACGACCCAAACACCTACCACAGGCCCCACCTCCCAGGACTGTTGCATTGGGGGTTGTTTCCAGCACATGGATTTTGGGGGACACATTTAGGTCATCGCAACAGGGAACCCCTGGCAAGTCTTAAACTTAGATTTTCATCAAGGTAAGAAAATGATTATAGTCTCCTGGGCCTTCAGTGTCTGTAACATGTCTTTTAAAAACTTAAAGGGGGAACAAATGCTACACTGAGGGAGGCATTGGTCTCTATTGCCATCTCCATGGAGTCCCGATGAGTCACAGGCCTCTTAGAAGCACAAGAGAGTGAATGGCAAACCGAAGCACTCAGTGGCCATTAGAGAAATGACACAGGGCTGACGTAACTCTGGACCTGGGCCTTATCATTCGTGTGGGTGATCTTGCAGTACTGGGTAAGGCATGGGGGGGTGTGTGTGTGTGTGTGTGCTCATAGGGTCTGCCACCTGTTGTAACAGCACGCTTTCCCAGTGTCACAACACTCCACCTATATCTGTTCATAGTCTTTAGACTTTTTTCTGTTTCCCTCTCTATTGGGAGAAAGCAGGAAGGAGGAAAGTAAGACTTGGTGAAAAAGATGAATGTAATGAATATATAATAATCCAGAAAAATTGAGGAAAAGGCCAATCCAAAAGAATGGAAAGTCTGGATTATGGACTACTATGGACATATGTGGCATTATTACTTTAAATATTCCGTCGGGTAATATACACTGGTTGTTCATAAATTCTGAATCTATCCAGGGAAGCCCTTAATTATATTTTCCTGCTCCTTACCATCCTCCCAAATCTATTTGACTTGGTGGCTGCCAACAATACACTCAAAACACACTGCTGCCCCTCCTACCTAAATGACCGAGTGAGCCACTACTCCCTGACAAACCCACAAGTGGCTTGACTATTTTCAAGAATTATTTTACTACAAAACCGAGGTAAACAAAATACAGAGCAACAAGAACAGAAAGGCTAAGGTGACCCAGCTAAAGCTGTGACCATCTGGACTGGGCCTCACCTCTAAGACGCTGCCCAGATTCTCAACAGTCCTTCCTTCCCCATCTGGCCCTTCCAATTCTCCCTCCTTGATCCTCCCAGCTGCGCTGCAGGCCTCTGGCAGTCTCTATAGACTCCAGCTGTCTTGATGTTGCCAAAGACCTACTCAGTTTACGGTAATGAAATCTAAAGGCGGTGTACCCTTTGGTGTGGCTTTGCTTCCACATAGAAGATTCTAAGCCAGCAGCATCTCTTCTTAGTCTGAAAATCTGGGGAGGCGGGGTCAGGCGGGGAAAAGAGAAAGAACTGTTTACCGTGGAAGGGAGTAGTAAGCAGCTGCTCTGCTAGGCACTTGATTTATAACTTCCCGAAATGTTCAGCAGAACCCCGTGACCCCTACCTTACGGATGAAGGAACTAAAGCCCAGAGAAGCTTAAAGCTGCGGAGCCAATGAGTGCCGGGATTCAAACGCAGGCCTGCCGGACCCTGTATTGTGTGCTCTTATACATCATACCACTTCCCCAAGGCCACCGCCTTAACAGCAGTATATAAAGTTTCTCAGAGAGCCAGAAGCATAGAGTTGTCTCTTCCTATTTCAAAACTCAGTCCTCCCTCTTGCACAGCCTGGAAGTGTTCACTTCAGATCTCAGTTGATTTGTTAAGTAGGACTGCTAGATATGTTTGTCTAGCCCTTGTTGCAAGCCTCCAGCAGGCGGGAGGTCGTAGGGGAGAGACCAGACCCTGCAGAAGATTTGGGTAGATAAAAGAGAGGGCCCTTGTTGACTTGCTGCCACTTCCTATTTTTCTAAGATGTTCTCTTATGACCCATCACTGGGAGGAAAGAGTAGATCTCTCCCTCAAATCCTACAAGATTAAAAAATTAAAGCTATCATACAATCCTCTATGAAAGTGAGATCGTAGTTACTTCAAGACACCTGCAATAATGCTATTCATGGTAGTTATTTGCTAGGCTAACCCTCTTTTTTCTTTGCATGGACCAAGCAGAGAAAAGCTTCAACCCCACACTCTTTGTTAGTACTGAATATGAAGTCTCTGGTTCTGAGCTTGGGGGTGCTGCCGTTTTTCTATTTTAGGGTTAGATTTTCATTATTCTCCTCCACTCATTATCTTTCTTCTTTTTTAAAAGCTTTTCTGAAACCTTTGTGTGTACTTTATTTCTTTCTTTATTTTTTTGAGATAGGATCTCACTCTGTTGCCCAGGCTGGAGTACAGTGGTGTGAACTCGGCTCACTGTAACCTCCTCTTTCCGGGTTCAAGTGATTCTCCTGCCTCAGCCTCCTGAGTAGCTGAGATTACAGGCACACACCACCATGCCCAGGTCATTTTTATATTTTTAGTAGAAATGAGGTTTCGCCATTTTGGTCAGGCTGGTCTCAAACTCCTGACCTCAAGTGATCTGTCCACCTCGGCCTCTCAAAGTGCTGGGATTACAGGTGTGAGCCACTGTGCCTAGCCTCTGTGTGTACTTTAAATAAACCAGCTGAAGGAAATGCAAAGCAGAATGAGATTGTTCCTTTTCTCTACTGGCATTTTTCTCCATGCAAAGATGAAAAGAAGTATATTAACATTTACTAATTTTCCCATCACAAGCCACAAGCCTTCAGCATTTTACCCCAATTGGAAAGTAACCTGGGATGCAAATAACCCCCACTGCAAGCACAACTTGACACTCAAGCCTGAGGTGGCCACATCTTCTCCAACCTATTAAATAAAACCTTAGGTTTTTCCTAAAACAAAGTGAGTCACTCAAGAGCTTCCTCAGCCTGTTTGAAGCCAGCCCTGCCCCTGGCTGAAAGGGCTGGAAGTTGCAGGGGCACATGCTGCTGGCTAAAACCTGGGCAGAACTTGAGGGCTATGGTTCATTTGTTTGTTTTGTTTAGAGACAGGGTCTCTGTCTGTCGCCCAGGCTGGAGAAGGGTGCAGCGGCCCAATCACAGCTCACTGCAGCCTCAAACCTCTGGGCTCAAGTGATCCTCCTGCCTCAGCATCCCCAGCTGGGATTACAGGCATGAGCCACCATGCCCAGCTAATTTTTCAGTTTATTATAAAGACGGTGTCTCACTCTGTTGCCCAGGCTGTCATTTGTCGAAGGATCACAGAAGTTGGAGCTCTGGGCTTTTTTGACTCCGACTCACCTAGTTAGAGTCACAGCCTCAGGATCACAGTTCTGTCTGAACACTTACGGAAGGGGCAGTGATCAGCTCAGCAGGATTGTCGATTAGCCTTGTAAACTAAACTCCAGTGCTATGTCCACCAAGAGCACAACAAGCTTCGTGCTACAGATCACCACCAGGTGGCACATGTTTAATGACCATGCCCCTCCAAGGTGGCGGGAACCTGCTACTGCCAAGCTCAGGAGTTATTTTGGCCTCATTCTGGGCTGGCAAAAGCTGAGTTATTAACCTGAAACTATAACCGGATTTTTCTTTCTTGCTTTTAGTGTATTTCCCTCATTGATTAAGTACTATGTTGTTAGGAGATAAAAACTTTAAAGATTTTAGAAATAATAAACTACTCATGTTGCCATAATTTCATCCCCAGTAAGGAATAGAAAAAAAAAAGCTGAGCTCTGAATACTTTGTCTTCATGACAAAGTTGCTTCTGGGCGCCAGGTCTGGCGCCAGGCAAAAGAGTGAAACAGGTGAAGTGTGGCTGGACTTCTTGCCATCTTTCTCCCTTTGCTCTCTGTCTTCTGATTTCACACTCCTCCCTAATTTCAAGTAATACCCTTGTTAAATTTGTTTAAAAGGTTTAAAGCCCGTTTTCAATATTTCATACAGAACCCACTGTAGGTCATTGTTTTTCATGTAATTTTATGTGCTTCCACAGTACTTGATGGGGGCCTTAGCCTTCTCCGACCCCACCCTGAAATCTCAAACGATCATCCCGGTGGGCAGTCCAGGAGGAGATTGGTACCAGCTCTGCCATTCTCCAAGTACACTGACCACAGTGTAGCAGAATGCAGCTCTCTAGAAAGAAAGGGAGAAGGAAGGAAGAAAGGGAAGCAGAGAGGGAAGGAGGGAGAGAAGAAGGGATGAAGAAAGGGAGGGAGGCGAATGAAGGAAAGAAAAAGGAAATCAATAATCCAAGACATATTATCTACATATATGGACAATTCATCACAAAGTCAGATCTTCCCATGGTGCCCTAATATCTTCCAGGGTCACACCAGGACTATTACACAAAGTCATTTACAACCACTGGGTAGGAAGAAATCTTTTGCACCTAGATCTTTGGCTGGTGCAGCATTTTACTCTTTCAGTACAATCAGTTGTGCTTTTCTCCATCAGGTTTATGGTCTTCTCCCAGTCAGTATATCTCCTAGCCACCCCTCCAAATTCCCCTCTGATCTGGACAGGGATTTCTTTGATCTCCTAAGCCCACTGTTCCATTGTAAGTGCTCAGGTCAGGAGGCCTCTCCTCCTTTGCACATGTGGGGGCTCCAGGCACAGGAGGTGGAGGGAGTGGAAGATGGGAGTGGAAGGCTTCCTCGTATCCGTTCACTGGGGGCTAAGTACCCTATTCTCATGTTAGTGTGTCTCCTCTGAGCTACAGTCACAGGGGTCACTTTGCTTAGCTTGGAAATGAGTTGGAAAAAACCTCCTTTCGATCTGGCATCCTTCCTATTGTTCCAACAAAGGTTTGTTTCTTGGGAAAGCACCCCAGTTGTCCAGCAGTTTACTTTCATTTGACCATGGGGAAATATTCAAGTAAGTTCAGAACAACCAGACCATCTCTTTCCTGTTTGTTAAACTTGCGGTGCTGAAAGTATAAAGGAACCTACCTTAAATCACCAAGTTAGAGCTCCAATCCTTGCTGTAACCCAGAAAAACTCTGCTTTTTTTTGTTTTTTTCTTCCTCTTTCCTATAGGCCTCTAATCACCTCACTCTTACCCAGCTAGTCCCCCTTCCTCTTCCTCCCATGATTCTCTATCTCTCCTCTCCACCCCACCCTTCTCTGACATCTCCCTTCTTCCCTTCATCACTTCTGAAAAAAAAAAAAAGGAAAAAAAAAGGAGGTACATTGCAAGATGGAGGAGAGAGGGATGGAAAGATAGGAAAGGTGCTTTGTAAAATTCAGGGAGTAGCAGGCCAGGCCTGGTCAGTAGCTGTGTTAGGCTGTTTTCACATTGCTATAAAGAATACCTGAGACTGGGTAATTTATAAAGTAAAGAGGTTTAATTGGATCATGGTTCTGCAGGCTGTACAGGAAGCATGATGCTGGCATCTGCTCAGCCTCTGGGGAGGCCTCAGGAAACTTACAATCATGGTGGAAAGCGAAGGGGAAGCAGGCATGTCACGTGGCCAGAGCAGGAGCAAGACAGAGAGACGGGAGGCACTAAACACTTTTAAACAGCCAGATTTCATGAGAACTCACTCACTATCACTATCACTTGGTAGGACAGTACCAAAAGGGATGGTGCTAAACCATTCATGAGAAATTCTCCCTCATGATACAATCACCTCTCACCAAGCCCCACTTCCAACACTGGGGATTACATTTCAGTATGAGAGTTGGGCGGGGACACACATCGAAACTGTATTAATAGCCTACCCAGACAAGACTCTGTCCTGGCCCTGTATTCCTCTTAGAAATTGAAGAAAAGGAAAAAAGAAACCCTCTCATATCCTACAACTCCCTGAGCTTTTTAGTTGCCAACTTTAAACAAATTTTCCTACTTACCTAAATAGCAGTCTCCTACTGGTAACTGAGAATAGTCACATAGATGCCACCTGAGTGCTGCATCTACAACACTAATTAGAATAGACTATTTTGCACATCAAATAGGAATAGCTCTAAAACATGGAAAAAGGTATCCATTAGAATTTCCACTGAGTGTCATTTAAATGAGCATGTAAAAAGGTCTTTCAAGTGATGTGCTCTTTATTTATTTGTATTTTATTTATTTATTTATTTGTTTATTTATTTATTTATTTTGAGACAGAGTCTCGCTTTGTCACCCAGGCTGGGGTGAAGTGGCGTGATCTCAGCTCACTGCAACCTGTACCTCCCGGATTCAAGTGATTCTCCTGCCTTAGCCTCCCAAGTAACTGGAATTACAGGTGCATGCCACCATGCCCAGCTAATTTTTGTATTTTTAGTAGAGACAGGGTTTTGCCATGTTGGCCAGGCTGGTCTCAAACTCCTGACCTCAGGTGATCAGCCCAACTCCCAAAGTGCTGGGATTACAGGTGTGGCATGCCAGGCCTCTTTATTAGTTCAATACACATTTGTATAGAAGCCATTAGTAAAGGGTTTTTTTGTTTTGCTTTGTTTTGTTTTGTTTTGTTTTGTTTGTAGTCAGGATATCTGCTATTAGGTGTGCAATGAAAAACTTTTAAAAATCCTAAATGCAGGCCTGTGACTCAGAGTATGTTGGATGGCCGGGAGAATGGGCCCTGCTGCATGTATTTTTGTAGGGTCCTTTCTTCTCCACACCTGGTTTGTGTGATTCCGTCTCTATTCTGTTTCAAGCCTCTTCCCTGGCTCTTTACGGTATCTCGTCCAGCAGCACCTGGATCTGCTTCACGCGCTGCAGGAAAGGGTCCTGAAGTGGCCACGCCAAGGCGTTCTTGGAGATTTATTCCTTAAGTTAACAAATGATGAGGTAAGGTTTTTTCCACCCCTTCATACATTTTACTTATATGGATTTGTGTCTCATTTGTCTACTTCTCTTAATAGAGAATCTAGAAGCAATGAATTTCAGAGCTAGAAGAAACACTGAGATCTAGTCTAACTTTCTCATTCTACATACAGATCATGGAATGATTCAGAGAGATATAAAAGCCTTGCTGAAATCACCCCGCTAGCTAGGTAGTTGGAGATGAGTGACTTTCAGAACCCTAAGTTAGGTCTTCTGACTTCTAGTTCATAACTTTCCACTGTACTATAACTGCCTCCGTTGAGTATGCATGTGGATGTGTGTATGTATTGTGTGTGTGTTTGTGTTTATATAAATGTATGTATATATATTTGTGGGCTGGGTATAGTGGCTCATGCCTGTAATCCCAACACTTTGGGAGGCTGAGGCAGGGGAATTGTTTGAACCCAGGACTTCAAAACTAGCCTGAGCAATACAGCAAGACCCTGTCTCTATTAAATTAAAAAAAGAAAAAATGTATATGTACATTAAAACATGTATATATATGCATGTGTATATATATACACATATATGTACATATAGACACATGAAATATATACACACACATGCATATATATACATATGAGAGTTTGTTTATACATGTGTATTTTCACACACAATTTTCATTCCTTGGGGATTTTTTTTTAAATGTGATGGGTGGCTATTACCTTGAATTTTGCAATCTCTATAATATCCTACAAAGGAAACATGATCCAAGCCAGAGGCTGCAAACTCAAATGCCTACAGGGCCAGACAGTGGCATCAATGAGTGAAGTGAACACAGTATGGACTGGTGTGAAGTGTGAGCTGCAGTGGAGCAGCTGTGTTGTTTTACAAGGAATAGCTACTTAGCTTTGTCCAATCATTATGCAGGAAAAAAGGACTAGAGTTGCCAGAGCTTCTGGTATTTTAAGAAAAGCTGGAAATCCAGAGTTTTGTGGGAAATTTTCTTATTTTTAAAAGATTGTGTGGGCTAATTAAAATTGGTCTGTAAGCCAGACTTTGCCTGAAATCAATTTTTGTGTATCAATTATTCTCATCTGGGGGTAACAATAATTCTCATCTGTGGGTAACAATACAAAGTTTACAAATTATTTTCTTCTATAGACTAGAGTGGATATAATGTACTAATATCCTCTAATATCACTTTTACTTACTTGTGTTCAGTATTCTTCCTTTTGCTGAGAATTATTATAACTTTATAAGCTGAGAATGATTTTCCTAAGGGGATAATGCATAGATAAATATGCAATTAGTGGAAATATGCAATTACTAGAAAATGTTGTGAACTACTGATCTGGATGATATGAAGCGGGATGGGCAGAGTCCCTCATCTGGATGTAGATGATTGACTGAAATGAAATTAATTACAAAAATAAAATATGTTTTTATTGTTAAATGACTAAAAAAATACATTTTCAACTTACATGAACCTCCCTCCTCCCTTGGTTTATTATTTCACTTTCTCTCATTAGGGAGGAGATGCTGAGTTTTGATTCCAAAACAGTAGGGATGTTTACCTTAAAACCAAAATTTTTTTTTAAGATACTTTTTTTTTTTTTTTTTTTTTTTAAGGCAGAGTCTCGCTCTGTCCCCCAGGCTGGAGTGCAGTGGCGCAATCTCGGCTCACTGCAAGGTCTGCCTCCCCGGTTCTAGCAATTCTCCTGCCTCAGCCTCCCAAGTAGCTGAGATTACAGGCAGCCACCATCATGCCTGGCTAATTTTTGTATTTTAGCAGAGACGGGGTTTCACCATGTTGCCCAGGCTGGTCTCAAACTCCTGAGCTCAGGCAATCCACCCGCCTTGGCCTCCCAAAGTGCTAGGATTACAGGAGTGAGCCACTGCACCCGGTCTAAGATAAATTTTTTAAAGCCTCAAAATATATAAAATAAAGAACATATTAAATGAATAAGATAATCTCTGCAAAGTACTCTTCTTTTACATATATGACTCTATGAAAATATTATAGATCCTGTTTTCAGGTTCTTACCATGCATTTTTTATGTTTGTTTTAAAGAATAATTTCTTGGATTATTATGTTGCCTACCTAAGGGACCTGCCTGAGTGCATCTCATTGGTTCATGTTGTAGTCCTGAAAGAGGTGAGTTAACACCATGTATATGCTATCCTTCATCTGCACGTGGTATCATATGATGTTGCTCATCCATGCAGTCAATACAGCACATGCACTCTGCTTTCTAGGCTGGGGAATGGCCCGAACACAGCCACTAATACTACTACCTGGCGTTAAAGGAACTCACTTGTGGATCAGTGCCATTGTGTTGGTCCTCTCCCTGCCTTACTGACCCTCTGTTCCATTCCGTTGGAACTATAGACAAACTATAGTTCTATAATGGGCGTTCTATGCAGAGATCTCCAGGCTGCAGCTCACCTGCTGTATGTGGCGGGTTTTTTTCAGTCTCAGAAGAGGTGAATCCGAATATTAAACTTCAGTCATCCTTTGTCGGTTTATAAGATCATAAGGTGGCTCTAGTCATGTTGCTTGAAGTATTGCTACTGCAATGATGCATTAGGTGCTCAGTAAGCACATATACATGTATAACAGCTTAGTTATTTCAGATCAATAGGAACAAACAGTATCAGAAGCCCCAACACTAAGAGTTAATCAAATTTCACAAGAGATGAGAGGCTCTGTCTTATTAAGTTTCTACTTCAACCCCCCACTACTCCCAACCCAGTATAATGCCTACCATGTTAGCTTTCAGCAAATACCTGGGAAAGAGAAGGGAGAGAAAAGGAAGGGACACGGAGAAAGTACAGCATGTTTTCTGCAGCTAGCTGACTAGTTTCTAATGACACTCCCTTTTCCACTCTTCTGAGCACCAAGTCTCCCTTAGAGCCTATTACTACACCATTGTCATGATTACTTGCTGGAGAGTCTTAATGAATTAATTCAACTCAAATAGAGGTTACTGAGTGCCGGCTTCTGTCTGCAACTGCGCTGAGAGGGTAGTTTGGAAATTTGGGTGGATTCAAAAGAAGTATATGATATGCTCCCTATGGGAGAAGAGCTGTCTCCTAGGGCATGTCCCTGAACATGTGGCCTCTCCCATGAGAGGTCAATGCTCTGTGACAATCTCCGGGAAGAAAATGCTCCGGGAGGAAACCCTTCCTACTCTGGTGGGACCGACTCAGGTTCTGCTGCCACAGATGGAGGAACACCGAAGAGTGACCTGACCTTTTTTTCATTCAGGGTGATGAAGAGATTAAATCTGACATCTACACGTTGTTTTTTCACATAGTCCAGCGCATCCCTGAATATCTGATACATCTGCAGGTAGGCATGGGTGGGAAAGCCACCAAACTGATTTGCATGCTAAATAATTATTGGTTTTGGCTCCCAACTGAGAAATACTGTAAAGCCTCAAGAATCATTAATATTTCTAAGAAGCGTTTACTTCGATTGCTGTGATTACCCCATAACCCATGATACCCTGTGGTATGAGCTAAAATCTCTCTCTCTCTCTTTTTTTTTTTTTTCTTTTGAGACAGAGTCTTGCTGTGTCACCCAGGCTGGAGTAGAGTGGTGCGATCTTGGCTCACTGCAACCTCTGCCTCCTGGGTTCAAGCGACTCTTCTGCTTCAGCCTCCTGAGTAGCTGGGACTACAGGCATGTGCCACCATGCCCAGCTAATTTTTGTATTTTTAGTAGAGATGGGGTTTCACCATGTTGGCCATGCTGGTCTTGAACTCCTGACCTCAAGTGATTCGCCCGCCTCAGCCTCCCAAAGTGGTGGGATTACAGGTGTGAGCCACTGCACCCAGCCTAAAATCTTTATTTCTAAAAATGTTCAGCTCATTATGCTTACCTCTGAAGTTCTGTCTTTACTTACCAGCAACTTCCACCTCAGCTGATCCAGGATCTTTCTATAACCACTCCTGCTAGATTCTAAGCACTTCATTCAGTTCTTTCCATTTTGGTTTTACAGCTGTCTAAATGCCACCACCTGACATCTAAATATCCATCTAATCTGCTCACTTAACTGCTATCCTGACTACTTTCTTTTGGCATGGGTCCAAGGTTCTACCATGCCATGTTTAAGCTTTATGTCACAGAAAAGGCATGAAGATGATGAGCTGATGTCTTCACACCATTTTCCTGCAGGGCTTGTGATATCCTGGAGGAAGAAGAATTGAAAGAGAGGCTCACTAACCCCCACCAGATCCTCTTCTTCCCACCACCCACCTGTTCTGGTTTAATTGCTGACTGATCTTCTTAAGTAATGAAAGCATCTTAGAAATGCTTGGGACTAATCTCAGGTAGAAGTAGTCCAGTAGTCCAGTAGTCCAGTATCAAAGTATCAAAATTTAAAATACTTTTTTTTTTTTTTTTGAGACAGGGTCTGGCTCTGTTGCCCAGGTTGGAGTGCAGTGGTGTGATCTTGGCTTGATCTTGGCTCACTGCATCCTCAACTTCCCAGGCTCAAGCAATGCTCCCACCTCGGCCTCCTGAGTAGCTGAGACTATAGGCACTTGCCATTATGCCTGACTTACTTTTGTATTTTTTTTTTTTTTTCTTTGAGATGGAGTCTCGCTCTGTTGCCCAGGCTGGAGTGCAGTGGTGCAATCTTGGCTCACTGCAAGCTCCGCCTCCCAGGTTCACGCCATTTTCCTGCCTCAGCCTCCCAAGTAGCTGGGACTACAGGCGCCCCCACCACACCCGGCTAATTTTGTATTTTTAGTGGGGACGGAGTTTCACCGTGTTAGCCAGGATGGCCTCGATCTCCTGACCTCGTGATCTGCCCACCTTGGTCTCCCAAAGTGCTGGGATTACAGGTGTGAGCCACCACCCGTGCCCTGAAAAGACTTTCAATTGTATATAGCTTTAGATCCTAAAAGCATTTTCTCACAATAATGATCTTATTTAATCTTTTCAACAATCCCATGAATTAGGTATTATTGTTGTCACATTTTACATGAGAAAATGCAGGGCCAAAAAAGTTAACAATTTACCCAAGTTAACACACCTAGTAGGTAAAAAAAAACTAGGACTGAAACCCAGGTTTTGCAAATAGTAGAATATGGCAAACAAGACCTGGTTCTACTCTCTGACTTGAGTTCAAACCTTGCCTCCATTATTTACTAGATGTGCAACCTGATGAAGATCATTTACCTTCTTTGTACCTCAATTTCCTTATTTGTTAAATGGAGTTTATAATAGTACCTATTTAAGCAGGTTGAGGTAAAAATTAAATGAGATAGTATACGTAAAGGGCTTACTACCTGGCGATAGGAAGTACTAGATACATTTTAGCTTTCCCAAATCCCAGTCACCTGCATGTTCCACTACAGCACAGCGGGGAATGTACAGCGGGGAATGTAACAGGAGGGGCCACCAGGCTTGATCATAAACATCCCCCTCCCTCGCCTGCCTTGATGCCTGATGTTGTCAACATTGGTCTGGCTCTTTTGAGTTAAGGCACTGCTTATAGACAGTAATTGTTAGAATGCCGCTATTACTTCAGAGGTCTAATTAGGAGATGCTTCTGACTTTTCAGATGAAATTATTTTATGTTCACATTCAACTCAAACAGGTCCGACAGTAACTTATTTTCCCTTGGTATGATAGAAAGCAGCCAGTGTATGGTCATACTTTCAGCGTATAATTAGGTGGGCCATGTGTATTGTTCGTTGTTTTGATTAAATGGCTATCAATCTCCCACAATAGATCAAGGTAAGGTGCAGAAGAGACAAAACAAATTTTCTTGCTAATTATGCAATGCTGCTTCCTTTTCCCCTCCATCCAGAACGTCCTGAAGTTCACAGAGCAGGAGCACCCTGACTATTATCTACTACTGGTGTGTGTCCAGCGCCTCCGAGTATTTATCTCACACTACACCCTGCTGTTTCAGTGCAATGAAGATTTGCTTATTCAGAAACGGAAAAAGCTCAAGAAGTAAGGTTCTGATGGTGCGGTCTAGAGGGTCAAAGACCAGTTACTCTGGGTGTCTTTCACAACTAACCACGTTGTGTGTTAAGTAGCTGAAATGCAGTGGTGGGAGGTAGAAGGGAAGAGAGAAGGGGAGAGAAAGAGCTAGTCAGACTGGCTACAGGAGCAAGTCACTGACTACCCGGTGGAAATTATTTTAGCAGAATAACACTTCACTCTACTGCTTACATAGACCCACTCTCATCCCATGTTGCTAACCACCTCAAAAATAGTTCAACGACTCTAAACTTGCCTGGTTCAAAATTGCAGTTAAAAGGCCACAACATAGTTTTCTTTATCAGTTCAACAAGTATTTATTGAGCACCTATTGTGTGTCAGGCACTGTTCCATGCACTGAATATACTGAAAGGAACAAAACGGCCCCAACCAAATCTTTGCCATGTGGAGCTTCCTTTTTAGAGTTGGACAGTGAACAAATAAATAAGATGGTGATATGTGATATGGACAAAAATGAAGCAAATAAGGGAGAGGAATTTCGAATAGGTTTTATATTAGGGAGAAATAGGAAGGGTTTATTAGGGAGAATCTGAGCTTCGGAGGGAACAGAAGCAGCCCACAGCACAGCTTCCTAATGACCTGGATTTCCTTCAATTTCATCCCAACTCCTGTGGAGGAAAACAGAATCATTTCTGTGGAAGCTTCAGACCAGAAAAAGATGCTGTCTCCCAAGCCAGGGCTCCTGTGATGGAAGATGTCTCTCCATACCCCCAACCCCTTCCCCCAAGTTCTTTTCAGCCAGTGAATCAGCTTCCCTACTCTTGCCAGCTTGCACCCTATTAAGCAAAGCAACTTAGTTTGCAAAGGCCCCTGGAGATAGAGACCTTCACAGCAAACTTTATCTGAGACATCTCTCCATCTTTTTTGGCATAATCTGTGTTCAGAGAGCCAGTTTGCCACCGTACAACCTGAGAACCGTTACTTCCATTCTGTTAGGTCATCCATGGCGAAGCTGTACAAAGGGCTGGCTTCCCAGTGTGCCAATGCCGGGCAAGATGCTTCCCCCACTGCAGGTCCTGAGGTTGTCCGTGACACCGGGATCCACTCAGAAGAGATGCTACAACCCTACCCTTCTGCTCCCAGTTCTGGCCCTGCTGTCACGTAAGCACCTGTTGCTGTGGGAAGGTTAAGGTCAATGCCTTTGGGACCCAGCCAGTCTGTGTGGGTTAGTAGGGCAGCCTAGATTCCACCATCCCCTTTCCCTATCAGGCCTGTATGTGCCAGCCAAGCAGACAACCCAATGCTTGGGTCCCAGAGGAAGGCACTAATGTTAAGGGACAGGTGTAGAAAGTGGGAAGAGAGGCAGAAAGTAGATATTTATTTCATGGATCACTTCAACTCTTGAGGCAGTTATGAAACTTCATCTTTGAAACGTAACAAATAGAGTCAAAATATGAAACCCCTGGAGATTATACCCAGATTAAACAATATGGCTGCCACTGCACTCTGCGTATGGAAAATAAAACCCCCAATCTTTCTTCCAAGTTAACAGAGAATTCAAATGAGGTCAATATTTTGTCTCACTCTTGCACATGTTAACGTGAGACCTAATTTTCATTTTAAGACCACTAGAGTAAAATATTGGTTTTAGCATTTATATTTGCGTTTTTTTTTTTTTTTTTGGTACTGAAGTACAATGGCATGATCTCAGCTCACTGCAACCTCCACCTTCCAGGTTCAAGGGATTCTCCTGCCTCAGCCTACCGACTAGCTGGGATTACAGGCACGTGCCACCATGCCCGGCTAATTTTTGTAGTTTTAGTAGAGACGGGGTTTTACCATGTTGGCCAGGCTGGTCTCGAACTGCTGACCTCAGGTGATCCGTCTGCCTCGGCCTCCCAAAGTCTTTGTGCATTTTTGTGGTAGAATTAAAATATGAATACATAAACTAGCAGAATAACCACTTCTGGTCAGTGTCCATTTACATCTGTCAATGTAAGTCCAGCACAACTGGACATCCCATCTGCTGGTACCCTATCCTAGTTTGTAAACTGTGTAAATTATCCATTACCCATGACTCCAAAACCAAAAACCCTCCATGAAATTGGGCATATCGAGTGACAGCTTTTTTTTACATATTGGTAATTCTTTGTGGGTGGAAGTTTGAGATGAATTATATAGCATGCTTTACAGTGACAACGAATATTTTTAAAATTTTATTATGAAAATTTCAAATTTACATAGAAGAGTACAGTGAACTCCATATGCCCTCATTCAGAAGTTATCAAGATCATGCCACGTTTACTTTATCTAGGAACGTAATTTGTTTCTGAGTGTGAAGATCCACAAGTCGAACAAAAGTTGAGTTTCCATTATTTTGGATGACTCTGCTAGGGCAAGCAAGGGAGAGAAGAGAGTTGAAGGTGTGCCTTGGAGCACCGCGGGTGCTGAGGAGGGTCAGGGCTTCCACACGGGGTGATGCCCGTCCCTGGCCCGCAGGCCATTTCCCAGAAGCTCAGACAATACCTTCGGGTCTCCGCTCGACGGACTGCCTTGTCCACTCTCCGCCTGGGGACGGGGGTTCATGGGAGCGCCTTAGTGGAAGTTTGTGGAGCTTGGGACGTGGCATGCGCAGGCGCCTGGGAGGGCGGCCAGGAGGGCCGCGGGCAGGCGAGAGGCCTGCACTAACCCGCCGTCAGCACACCTCTTTTGTACTCTGTTTCCCCCCTAAAGCCATCTGATGCCCCCAGTGAAGAAAAGTCAACAGCAGCAAAGCCTGATGGAGAGCATGCAGCCCGGGAAGCCCAGTGACTGGGAGCTGGAGGGCAGGAAGCACGAGCGTCCCGAGAGCCTTCTGGCACCGACGCAGTTCTGCGCGGCCGAGCAGGACGTGAAGGCGCTGGCCGGGCCCCTGCAGGCCATCCCGGAGATGGACTTCGAGCCCTCTCCGGCCGAGCCGCTGGGCAACGTAGAGCGCTCCCTGCGCGCCCCGGCCGAGCTCCTGCCCGATGCCCGCGGCTTCGTGCCCGCGGCCTACGAAGAGTTCGAGTACGGCGGCGAGATCTTCGCGCTGCCCGCGCCCTACGACGAGGAGCCGTTCCAGGCTCCGGCCCTCTTCGAGAACTGCTCGCCCGCCTCCTCCGAGTCCAGCCTGGACATCTGCTTCCTGCGGCCCGTCAGCTTCGCCATGGAGGCTGAGCGGCCGGAGCACCCGCTGCAGCCACTGCCCAAGAGCGCCACGTCGCCGGCGGGCAGCAGCAGCGCCTACAAGCTGGAGGCGGCGGCGCAGGCGCAGGCGCATGGCAAGGCCAAGCCGCTGAGCCGCTCTCTCAAGGAGTTTCCGCGTGCACCGCCCGCCGACGGCGTGGCCCCGCGCCTCTACAGCACGCGCAGCAGCAGCGGCGGCCGCGCGCCCATCAAGGCGGAGCGCGCCGCGCAGCCGCACGGCCCGGCTGCTGCCGCTGTAGCCGCTCGCGGCGCGCCCCGGACCTTCTTCCCCCAACAGAGGTCCCAAAGCGAAAAACAGACCTATTTGGAAGTAAGGAGGGTAAAGTAAAACCGAATCGAAACCCACAGCGTCGACGACCCCAAGTCTAGATCTGCAGGAAGCATCCCGAGTTCTCCTAGCGTGGAGGGGAGCGGGGCCGGGCGAGGCTTAGGGGCTCGGGAGCGCGCTCGGGGGGCGGCTGCGCGAGCCGTCGGCGGGCGGGGGCGGGGGCGGGGGCGGGGGCGGGGGCGGAGGCGGAGGCCGAGGGAGAGCAGGGGCAGCCCCCGCGCCCTACAAGCTGTAGACTGCTGGGCCCTGGAAGGCAAGTGACAGCGTCTGTTCTCCAGTACCAGGACCCAAAGAGCATTCCTCATAAGGTACACGAGGGACGGCAGAGGTAGCAGAGAAGCCCGTGACTCTTTAGACCTGATTTATCTCACACACATTTAGGGAGTTATGGGGAATCTCTTCCTGCTTATGTTAAGAGTTGCGCTTTTTTCGGAGCACTGCACGCCACGCGGGTCCCGGCCAGTGTGTTTCTTCTCCCTGTGAGGTGTCGTTTCTATGTGGAGAATATGGAACACGGCGCCCCAGCGTACCCCACTTCCTCCGGGCAGCATTCTTGCTTGTAGCTAGGGAGGAGGCAAGTTGCCCTAGCTCAAGGTAGACTCGCTGCACAGTTTGCTGCAAAGCCAGCTTTATTTCTGCTTGCTTTGCTTTTGACTGGAAAAAAGTGTCCTATTAATTTGAAAACTTCTTTGGGACAGGGACATTCCAAAATAGAAAACCTCCTTTGGCCTCAGTGAATGTTGAGGTATTTTGATGGCCAACATCTGTGTCTGCAGGTCTACCGGTGTTTGCTATTTTGATATCTAATTGTGGTGTCTGCAAGCCTGGAGGGCATTTAAAGAGGTCTTTAAATGCTTATCCAGGAAGTGCTAATAGTTTCTGAGCAAATAATTGCTCTGATCTGATTAAGCAGAGCATAAGTAACATGATAGCTCTGACCTGTGCGACCACCCTTCCGGTCCAACTATTCTCATTTTCGAATGGAAACAGTGATGATCACTGACTTTTTTCATTCATTCATTTTTCAGCAAACACTGAGTGCTTGTCTTGTACCAGGCTCTGTGCTAATTACTGAACATTCAGAAATAAACCAGTCTCTATCCTCCGGGGCCCCTGGCTTAGTACAGGAAGGAGACACAGGAACACAGGATTATGTAATAAACTGTGGGAGCACATGGGAGGGATATTTAAAACCTTTGGGGTCATGGTGGTCAGAGAAGGCCTCCTAGATAAGTTGAATGTCTGAATTAGATTGTAAAAGCTGCCTAGAAGTTGGCTAGGGGAAGAGTGAGGTAGGGAAGCATGAGAAAAACTGGGTGATGCCTTTTCTCTGGCATACTGTGCCAGGTCAGAGTGGTGGAAATTAGGCCAGAGGAACAGGAAGGGGCGGGATCATGAAGAGCCTTGGAGCTTGCTGCCCACCTGCACTCCAGCAAAGTCTGTGTCTGGTCCCTGCAGAGGACAAAAACGTGGTAGTGTGCTCAGCCAAAGCTGCTGAGGTTCCCTGGGGTTCTCAGATTTTCCTGTAGCTCTGATTTTCAACTCCAAGCTTCGTAAAATTTGATTAGGCAGAACTTTTTGGAGAAATCAATCTTAGGCATGTGTCAGAGTTTAGAAGTTTATTGAAAGGGGAAGTAAATGGAAATTATAGTGCCAATTCAGTGTGACTTAGGATGAGCAGAGGTTTACATACAAAACCTTCTAACTAGTATAGTCTGTACTGTAAAGAACTTTTATTTCATATGTGATAGCAATGTTCTTTTGTAGTTGATTTGTGAAAAATTTGGGGTTCAACAATTGCAAGGCAAAAACCATTAATCAGAAATAACAATATATCTGAGAAGCAAACAATGAGTAATATATTTGTGGCTGTTTACCAGACATACCAAATAACAATAAACAGTGTGTCAGGAACTGTTAATTGCACATACTGGACAGCAAGTTTCATCTCCTAACAGTGTCAGGCATGCGTCAAGTCAGTTCAAAATGAGATACCAAGGAAATGTCAGATGGAAGTCAGTTAAGAGAGGCATTTTCTCTAGCAATAGCATTAACATTTTCAAGCATGCAAAGTTCCCGTTACTAATTTCTGTTTCTGGACACAATTTTTCTATCTAAAAACTTAAAATGGCCTGGTTGTTAGGAGTCCTAGAGAGAGGTTGCATGCAGAGTGCAGGTGGGCAGAGACCATGTGGGCATACATATGTGCATGAGCATATATGTGCATGTCTGCATGTCTAAGTATATATGTGCATGTTTGTGTGTGTTGGAGGTGGTGGTGGGATGGGGTTTTAGTTGCAAAAGATAAATCCCTCAAAAACTTTATCCTTAAAGGTATCAACTCTTTGCTTTTGAGATGTGCAAAACCCCTAGTGTTTCATCCCTTTGTATATCTTTCACCCAGCCCAGCAGAGCCAGCTGAGGCCTAGTCTTTAGTGTTCTGTCTCTTTTAGAGTCAAGAAAGAAGATGGTCTGCTCTAGTGAGAACACGTGACTGTGAGGAGATCTAGGTTCTAGTCCTGGCTCTGCTGCCCAGTAGCTGGGTGCTTTTGGACAAATCACTTGGCTTCTCTGTGCCTCCAGTTATCTCAAAGTAAGACAACCTGTCTCACAGGGTTGTTGGGAGGATCAGGCCAAAGAAGATAGAGTTTTTGAGTAGGCTTTATAAAGTATGAAATGCTATTGAGATCATGGTTCCATAGAAAGATTTTCCTTAAACCATTACTAGATTTAGTCACTAAATAGTCTCTAAAAGCGCATTTCTCAAACTATGGTCCTTGGGGGCAGTAGCAAATGCATTGCCTGGGAACTTGTTATAAATGCAGAATTTGCACCCCAGACCTACTGAATCAGAATTTAGGATCATTCCCAGGTGATTGATATAAACATTAAGTGTAGGTGGGCAGAAGCACGCCTTAAGTCAGTGGTCCCCGACCTTTTTGGTACCAGGGACCAGTTTTGGGAAAGGCAGTTTTTCCACAGGCTGCAGAGGGGGAGGTGGTTTCGGGATGATTCAAGTGCATTACATTTATTGGGTACTTTATTTCTATTATTATTACATTGTAATATATAATGAAATAATTATACAACTCACCATAATCTAGGATCAGTGGGAGCCCTGAGCTTGTTTTCCAGCAACTAGACGGTCCTATCTGGGGGTGATGGGTGAGAGTGACACCCAAAGCGTGTCACTTATGTCCAGTTTACTCTGTAATCTCATTTTGGTTGCTGTGACTGCAGAAAACCCGGCTTCACAAAGATCGGATGCTGCAAATGGAAGCAGGCTTTTCAGTGCTTTGTGGCAATCTCATGATATTCTGCCTTGACTTCAATCCAGAACGTATGGAGATTCGAAATGGTCTCAAACCTACTTTTAAGGCCACCAGATGCAGCTGTACCATTGAAATTCATCAACTCACTTGCCACTATAAAGCCTGCCACCAGATGCAGCTTAATTGTCACTTGCCACTTACTGATAGGGTTTTGATATGAGTCGGCAAGCAATTGATTAATTATGGTCTCTGTGCGGTCAAACCTCTCTGCTAATGTTAATCTGTATTTTCAGCCACTCCCCAGCATTAGCATCACTGTCTCAGCTCCACCTCAGATCATCAGGCATTAGATTCCCACAAGGAGTGGGCACCCAAATCCCTTTTGTGTGCATTTCACAGTAGGGTTTGTGCACCTGTGAAAATCTAATGCCACTGCCGATCTGACAGAAGGTGGAGCTCATGAATTAATGCAGGCAATGGGGAACGGCTATAAATAGAGATGAAGCTTTGCTTGCTCACCCACCCCACTGCTCACCTTCTGCTGTGCGGCCCAGTTCCTCACAGGTCACAGACCAGTACTGGGAGTTGGGGACCCCTCCCTTCAATCATTCGTTTTGAAATCTAAGTGTGCGTAAGGATTACCTAGGCCTCACTGCAGAGATTCTGATTCAGAAAGTCTGGGATGGGGCGCAAGAAGCTACCTTTTAAATAAAGGCCCAACCTGATCCTGTAGTGGCGGGACCACACTTTAAGAAACACTGCATGTCTGTCTCCATGGTCTAGTTATGAATCTTTGTAGAATCTCAGAGAATTTCTATATCTGCAACCCCCAGTTCTCAAAGTCAGACCCATATGTTTTCTGGGGAAAAAAAAAAATCCATCCTCACACTTTGCTTCTCTGTCAGCAAGCAGTCACCCATCTAATTCATGAGACTTCTAGGGCATCATTGGTGTGGTTTTTGCTTTGACTACTTGGGGTTCTCTAAAGGTTATTCAAAATTCAGCAGCTGTTTTTAAAGTTGCTTTTAAATTATAGTCACCTCAAGGTGAATACTTTGTTCATATGGAATATAAACATATATAAGTGCATATCTGGCTTGTATGCATATAAATATACATGCACTTCTGTTTAGCACATCTCACACTTAAAAAACTAGAGAGGTCACAAAAGATGCAGCCTTATTTTTAACTTATTTTACTTTATACTCCAAATAGCATAGGTTAAGAATTGTAAAAACTGTATTACAGGCACATTTTCAGTTTGAAAGTATTAGTTGACATTTTCTTCTAAACAGGTCTGACTTCTCAAAAATGCCTTCCCTCGTTTATGCTTAAAATGGAGAGTTAGGAATATGAGTTTAAAACTAGCATTACAAGTAAGGAGCATCCTTATTTTGTAGAAAGAGAAACACCTGGAGATATGAGGGTTTTCTAGCACGACAGGGTTGGTGTCAAAATAAGAATTTATTCACTCGTGGAGGATGTTCTTGCAGTCTTCTTTTTAAACATTAGCTAATTTTATTTCCTTATCTTTAATTATTGTTATATATTACACTAGACTATTTGCCTTGATACATAGAAAATACTACACTCGGCAGGAAATTATCCTCTTTTCACCTACTGGTTTCTTCATTAGCCTAGGTTTGCTTTAGTTGGGATTGGGTGCCCACTGGTAATCTTTCGGCATGGGAGAGGAAAGTCACAACACCACAAAACTGTCCCATAGTCAGGATCCATAATAACGTTGGAAAGGAGTAAAGAAAAAAATCCCTCTTTTTTGTTTCCAGGAGATGCATTTAGAAGATACTACCAGATTCTGTCCCAAAGAAGAAAGAGAAAGTGAACAAACGTCTTTCAGCGATCAAAATCCCAGGCAAGACCAGAAAGGGGGCTTTCGCAGCTCCTTCCGCAAGCTCTTTAAAAAGAAGTGAGTAGCCCTTAGACAAGACAGCCTTGTAACTCATTTCCCTTTGGGCTCAATCTTGAGGTTTTAACAATAATAAGTATCAAGTACCCTGGTCTCACACAACTGCTTCAAGTACAGTGCCTGCACCCAGTAGCCACAATTCTGGCGGGGTGAAGATGTTTCTCATTGTAATCTCCCAGAGTAGAAGCAAACTCAGCTGTCTGCCCTGCCTCTTCTGTCTTCTATCCCTTCTTCCTTGTTCCCAAAGTCATATGTCCCAAGAGGAGTGGGCAGAGGTGGTTCCCTTGAGAAATGAGCTGGTGACAATCAAAGCCCCTTTAGACTGGGAGGAGTGGGATCCGCTATTGGGGTTGGGTGTCCTGGGTGCTCCATCACATCTCCCCATCTGTGGAAAGTTGTCTAAGGGATCTCAGTACGTCTGCATTTGGGGGCCTGTTGTCATCCTGGGTGCTAATTCATGTTTATTGGGACTTCTGTTAGTGCTTTCCCTGAATGAGTGGATTTGGCTTGGCCCTAGTTAGAAATCACTTTAATGGAGTTTCTGTATTCCATAGGAGGCAAAAACAAGGCATTTTCCTCCTGTGGGCCTTCTGAGATTCTAGGTCGTTGTTGTTTAAACATCATCCACCAGACATTTTGGTCAGCACTGTCTTACAGTCTAGGAGGCAGTGGCCACGCCCCAGCATAAAATATAAGGAAGAGAGAGGTGAGCATTAGCATTTGACCGTAGAGGGATTTACCAGTCCAGCCACTGCCTGCCTGAGAGACTGCTGTTTCAATCTCCACTGGCTCAGCCTACCTCTCTCTCCCTTAGATTTCTCCTGCTGCTTAGTTACTCTTGGTGGAGGATGTTCTTGCAGTCAGTTTTAAATAACAAGTGTTCATATTTTAGTAGATGGAAAAGTTAAACAGAGGCATTATTGCTGCCTTTGGAGAGTTGCCGATAAGTGAGGAAGCACAGGGAAATCACCTTTTCCTTGAAGGTCGAGGTCACTGGCTGATTTAGACTATGGTCCTGATGGAGGAATTGGGGGCAGCCCTGGAGTGAGGACTTTGTTTTTGCTGGTTTGTCTCATTGTAATTATCCTCCTGTGGGGAGGGTGGTACTGAGATTGGTGGGCCTCTGACTGTTGGTCTCTGCCTCTTGTTACTGGAGAAGGGGGAATAGGAAGGAAGAGCAACAGCTCTGCACTTAGCCATAGCCCTGCATTCTCTCTCAGTTTTGCTAAGGAACCCAGTGCATGCTTGCATGCTGTTGCAGGATCCTCAACCCACCTTATTCAGGGTTTGAAGAATTGAGAATTGTATTCCTCTTTCTAGGATCATAGACTTACATCTTTCTTGACCCAGTGCCAACATCTGTCAAATTGACAGGGGTGGGAGAACCTGGAAACAGACACTTCTCCATCCCACCCTTGGGATTTAGACTCCTGAATCTTTCTTGAGATGGAGTCTGGCTCTGCTGCCTAGGCTGGAGTGCAATGGCACAATCTCGGCTTACTGCAGCCTCCACCTCCCGGGTTCAGGCTATTCTCCTGCCCCTGCCTCCCGAGTAGCTGGGATTACAGGTGCCTGCCACCACCTCCCGGCTATTTTTTTTTTTTTTTTGTAGAGATGGGGTTTCACCACGTTGGCCAGGATGGTCTTGAACTCCTGACCTCAAGTGATCCACCTGCCTTGGCCTCCCAAAGTGTTGGGATTATAGGCGTGAGCCACCATGGCTGGCCAGACTCCTGAATCCTTCTAAGGACTGCACAATCCTAAGGGCACAGCTTGAGCCAAGCTTTTTTTTTTTTTTTTTTTTTTTTTAACCACAGTATTCCCAAAACAGCCATTTTTTGCCCACTGTCATTTATAATGACTGGGTGCTGTCCGTTGGAAAGCAATGAGCAATAGATTCACCAAATTCCTATTTATCAGAGAGATGTAAGAAAATGTTTTACCAGTGACATGAGGCAGAGGGAGTGGATTTGTCCTCTCTGGACTCAGAGGGCAGAACTGGGAGCAGTGGCTAAGGGGAAGAATTTCTTAAAAATGCAGCTACATGGAACTGGAGCTGGCTACGGCCTGAGGGAATGGATTCATGAGATGCTTCTGGTCAGGGATGCTATGAAAGTGGTCCCTGCATCTAGTGGGAGATTGTTGAAGAAATCACCAGAGTCCTTTCTAGTGTGGATATTTGCTTTATCTGTATTTTGACTTTGTTGTAGCTTGATCTGAGTAATCACATCTTTTTATCACCTGAAACAAGAAATTAATGAAGCCTTCGGACCTATAATTTTAAAGCCCTAGCATGTAGAAGACCAGGCTTTAGCTTTCTGTAGCTCCCCACCGACCTTGGTATAATGTAGAGGACTTGCTATGGGCTCTCCAAGTTCATGTTGATTAATTGCTGTCAGTCTTCTTGTGGCTGTTCGGGATTCTCCTTAGATAAAGAGCCAGTAGATTCCCTTAGTCCTCTTGTCCTTTCTCATAGATCAGTCCCTCCTGCATCAATCACGTTGCCGCCACCAATACTGGTGCTGTCCTTTGTATTTAAAATCCGAAGTGTTGTCTGAGTGGAAGTAAAGGTGGAGCCACACAGATGACTGTCAGTCTGGCAGGCTTTCCTGGCTTTTTAGATCTGGCCTAGGGCAGTCAGTACCATCAGGTGCTTAGGGTGCTGCAGTGGGCACTTCGGAGACTTTGCATGGGTTGAAGAGGCAGCTTAAGTAGCGTTTTCTGAGTGTTTTCATATGAGGACCATGGAAAATTTGCTCCATTATAAGGTAGAGAGGAAGGTCAGGGAGGCCCCAGTGTAGCACAGGAAGGGCAGTGGCTTTTAACTCAGATGAGAACACACCATTCTTCTCATCAATTAAGCATTCAATCTTAGATGCATGCACTATGCAAGACACTTGTATAGGAATCATGAGCGACATAGTCCCAGCCGTTACACAGGAACTTGCACTCTGAAGTCAGGCCTGTGGACAGTTATAGGAAGGAACCAGAAGAGACATTCAGCCCATTTTCCTCCTGCATGTCAGGAGGTCAGGCTGGCAGCAAGCCCTGGGACTTTAAGAAGTGGCCAATCCTGAGTACTGGAGCCATTGTAGAGCCTGGTCTCACAGGTCCAAATGGGCCAGTGCCAGCAAAGCCACTTGTGTCGTGTCTGGGGCTCGCTGCCTTCCTCCCCCACAGCCCTCTGGAGGCTCATTCCTGTCTACACTGACACACTTTTTGTTCCATAGGGGCTTGTTTGGCTGGTGGCCCCACACACCCAGAATGCTGCTTCGGGATGAAGCTAGGCATGGAGCCAGATGCAACAGAAAACCTGAGAAAGGGTTCTCTTCCCTCTGAGGCTGGGAGGGCCGAAGGCTCATACCCACAAGGATTCAAAAGGGAGAGTCAAGTTGACATCATTAAAAAAATCCTGAAAAATACCCACAATATTTGGGGAAAAGAATGACCTTCTGATTGTTTCCATCTCAGGCACATTTGTCCTGGGCAGATACAAGGTCACATGTCCCTGAAAGGTACCCAGAATTGATCAGAATAAAGGCTACATATCTTAAAGTTTGGAAATGTTAAGTGATTTTAAACATTTTAAATGAGGATTCTTAGAGGGAACAGACTTAACTGTGGTAGGCTGATGTTAGCTAGACTGATACTTATTCCCTTGCCTTTGAACAGGATGGAAGGCAAACTGTCCCATTCTAGAAGGATCTATATAGAGGCTGTCAAAGACTTAAGCCTAGATTATTGTGAAGTCTGAGGCAAATGATACTTCATCTCAATAGATACATCTTGCAACACTTACGTTAACGTGTATTCTTGATGGCAGATGTGACAGTGGGGAAGAGGATCACGTGAGATAGCTTAGGTGTAGGGAATGTAGATGGTACTCTGTCTCTTTTTATCCTCAAATTTCGGGATAGTGGGAAGATAAGGAATATGGCTTCCAAATGATTAATTCTACTTCCTCGCTCATTCTCTTCCTCTTTAGCACTTTAAAATTTACATGCATCAGAGTGTCTCCCTTCTTGTCATCACCCTCCATCAATCCCATCACTGTCTATTTTCTCAATCACACACAGAAGGAGTACTTCTACAGGGCCCCGTATGTAATCATTTTATCTCAGTGAATCCTCTTCTTTTGGTGTCTTCCCAGCAGTTTTTGTACATGCCCAGCCTCAGCTGTTGAACAGACCATGTAATAGAAAGCAGGGCTGCTAAAGAATCCATTGATAACTTTATCTCGCCTATTCTCTGTCTCCTTAAAAGCTCATTTCAAGTCCCTCTCCCACTCTTACCCACTTTGGAGTTCTCTCTCCTTTTCCATTTCATTTCCTATATAACTTTAACATTAAAGGGGATAGTTGAAGGGGTAAACATTTTAGATTACTTAACCTTAATTACAAATGTTTCTCAATAAGCCATTCGAAATCAACCATTCAGTTAAGGGTCTTCCATATACTAGGTTCTGTCCAGCACAAAAGATGTAAGAGAAATAGTTCCTGCCCATTAGGAGCTTACAGATCAATTTAAGGGTAACCTAACTATTAATACAAGATATAGTATGTAGCACATAGTAGGCACTCAACAAATATTTATTAAATGAATGCTCGTTTGCTTTGGGCTCTCCAAACCCATGTTGGTTAATTGCTGTCAGTCCTCTTGCAGCTGTTTGGGATTCTCCTTAGGTAAAGGGCCAGTGGATTCCTTTAGTCCTCTTGTCCTTTCTCATATATCAGTCCCTCCTCCATCAGTCAGATTGCCTCCACGATACTGGTGCTGTCCTTTGTATTTAAAATCTGAAGTGTTGTCTGAGTGGAAGTAAAGGTGGAGTCGCACAGGGCTGTTGCTTTGATTACCAGGGCTGACTGACTGGCCGACAGGATGGGTGTTTCCTTGCCCCTTTATTTCTTGAGACAGATGCATGTCTCCTAAAGCTTTCAAGGAGGATAGTTTTTCCAATCAGAGAACCAAGCCTTCTTAAGTCAGAGGTTTTTGCAGCACTGGATTTAACTACCCCCATCCCCAGCTCCAAACAAGCTTTCAAGGTTTATTTATAGCAAATCTAGACTTAGTATGACCTGCTCAATGTGCTATTTTCTTTGTCACTTGAATGAAAGGAAAAGTTAGCAACAGGTCTGTTGTCTTTTCCTCTTTCCATCAAATACTTGGATGGTTATGTGTCAGTGTGTCCTGGCAGCCATTGTACCCTTCCCCAGCGAGTGTGCCTGTCCCTATAATGTCTGCTCAGATATGCCCTGCAATCAGCCACAGGGCTCCAGGAGCTCAAAAGCCATTTCTGTTTTATAGAGAAAGGGAATAAAAGCAAATCTGCTGGCCTTTTCTCTTTGATCCTGCAGGTTATTTCCTAGTAATTTAGGTATGCACTACTTAAGAGCCTAATGGCCACACCTTTGGAAGAGTTCAGGTGGCCATATACATGTAAGCATTATAAAGAGGTCAGTTATAAAATGATTTTTACAAGGATGAAAATGAGCTTTTAGTCATGGCTATAGTAGAATGCTGGATTTCGAAAAGGATGAGCAATTTAGCTGTTAGTTTAATTAATATCAAGAAATGCAGAGAAATTTAGATACTGGAGACATAGGGAAGGTACAATTTGTGAGAAGAGCAGTTAAAAAAATTTAAGCTGAGTTTGTGGACTTTGAAAACTAGACAGGGCGATTTTGGCATTTGTTTCAGAAATGGGAACGCAACTGGTGAAGATTTCTGTGGTCCTTGGGGCTGGTGGTGACATCAAAGCTTTCCTATTTTCAGGTAAACACTAAACAGTTGCATGTTGGAACCATCAAAGTGTGACATGTTGGGTTTTGGATAGACCAGATGTAGCTAAGAGGGGAAATACGAGGCAAAGATTTCAAGTTTTGACTAATGACTTTCTGATGAGTAACTGTCCTGTGGGGGAACAAGAAGAAATAGCAGCCCAATTCAAATCCTGCCCCCAACTTCCTGCCCCTGAAACATAGGCATTCCTAGCCTTCTGAATAATGGAAGACATAGAGAAAGAATGAGATGGTCAAAAATATATCTTCCTAAATTTGGGGCACAACTGCACTAATCAGGGATGATTTGAACTGGAGGTAGGGGGATCTGTGAAAGATGAGAGAAGGCCTGGAGTTTTAGGGTGGGCCATGTGGAGGCTCTTTCAAGGGAGAACTCAGGGGCATTCCTGAAAAGGAAGAGAACCTCATCCCACCCACATATCTTGCTTGATGAGTACCCAGATGTACTGGAGTTGAGAGACAGAATAGTTTTTCCTCTCTGCACTGGGATATAGTGGAAAGGTGTTCCTTACCAACCAGAAGTAGAAAGCATGGTGGGCGGCTATGGCTTCATCTGTGATACTGAATATCAGGGGACAAAGTGAAAATATCTAGTCAGTCATCAGGTTTTCAGATGTTAGGGTTTTTAGTCTTTGTGGATCCAACTTCTTTCCTTGAATAATGTAAAGAGATGTTTGAATTCTGCCCATTAATTCAGTAAATGAGAGTCATGATTAACTTATCTAATAACAAGAGTGAGGACTCAACAGTAGCAAACCAATGATAGTGCAAGGACTCGCAGGCCATGGATCCTTCTTTGGTGGATAGTAGAAGCATCCCTGACAGCCTCAGCATATGGAGAACTTGGTCAGTTGTATAGGAGCTTTGGACAAGCAACTTCATGTCTAACATCACTTTCATACACCCTGCATGAGGTTTTTTGATATTGGTTCTTAGTGTCTGGACTAGTTTTACCCATTCTAGGTCAGAGTTTAAGCTAGGCAAAGGACCCCAGTCTAGCTTCTCAGAGGTTATTTCCAGAAAGCCTCCTCCCTCCAGGGACTTCTGACATGAGAAAACTGGAGAAGGTGCAGAGCTGGAATGGATTACCCAAGTGGCTTAACCAAGATAAAGGAAGAATGCACCCTCGACTGGGGACTCAAATGGACTGATTTGAGTTGTTGACTATTGATTGGCTTTGGTCTCTTTTGTGGTGGTTGAGATTATAGTATCTCTGCAATCTGATTACTGTATGAATTTCTGCATTCTACCAAATGTAGCATATATGTGTGGTTGGCTTCAATAAATCTTTCATTTACAAATGAAAACAAACAAAAGCAAGAGTTTGTAATGCCAAATTCAGTGAAGGTCCTTGATAACCTTGGTTGAGAACCATGATTTCCATCCATTTTAATTTAAGGTCCTTGGTAATTTGTGGAGTTGTTACTTCATTGAATCAAAAACAGGATTTCTTGAATTTTCTGAGCTTTTGTTCCCCTATTATGATGTAATTACACAATATCTTACACTGACATATACAGTTGTCACAATTGTCCCCATAAAGCATTAGAAAGATATTCTCTTTATGTTCAATGCAAATCTTAGATACACATGTCCTGAGTCATGAAATTCAGGGGAGTAAAAAGTATTCCAGTTCTAGGAAGCAACTGTTTTACAAATGCAAAACAATTGGGATAGATAAAATATTTGAAAACAATTAAAACCAAATCAACCTGTACTTTATCTGTGTGCTGAGATTTTAGGTCCAGTGGATCAGAATACAGGGAAAAAACTAATGAGAATCCCTCAATGGATCCTTCACCCACCAAACAAGATTTCTTCAGAAACCGACTTGCTCTTGCAAATGACCTTGACCAAGGAACAGCTGTGTAAAACATACTTAAAGTTGTATTGTCAAGTGGTAAGATGAGGATAAAAAGCTTGTATATATCTGTGTAGGAATATATATATATATATATATCGATGTATAAATCCCTGAGGAAAACTAATATAAATACTTACATATGAAACTAAATCAACATACAAGACATTGAAGAGATGAAGATTAGTTTCTGGTTAAGATCTGGCTTTTTGAACCTCAACACTGGGGAAAAGGGAAAAGAAGACTTTTCACATCATTACAGAAAAACACAATAAATTTGGAGGAAAATAAACATTTGTAAGAATGAAAACTTCCACCTTGAAGTCATTCCCCGAGTATAATATTGAGCATGTTCATATTTAACATGGATGTGAATTTTATGCTTCCTAGGCATTTAACTTATTAACTCATCCAGTGTTCTTAGACTAATTACACTGTTAGGGGCCAGTTCTGTCTTGCTTCGTGTCTTCCAAAAACCCCAAGGCAATATCTAACATCCCTTAAGTCAAAGGATTAATTAACAGAACTGTATTTTATATGTTGCAAATCTGAGTTATGGAGAATTTGTGCCTAAACCATGATTCAGAAGGTTCAAAGCTTAAAAACACATTGATCTCCAAACTTGTTCTGTGGTTATGGAAATCAGTAAAGGGAACAAGGATTTCTGTAGAAACTGGGGAGAGAGGAAGGCAAAGAAACATTTTCCCTTGTGTGGGTTGAGCTGAGGATGGAAACAGTCCAGTCTGTGTTTACTGAGTACTCGGTATTCAACATCCGCTAGTGATCTTAAGTGTCACACACACTCATGACCAGATGGGCTAGGAAAAAAGCAGTGATTTAGCCACATCCTCTTAAAAAGACTTTCTGCAGCCTGAAAAGAAGGTGGCAACAGCACCAAACTTCAATGGCTCACACACAGCAGTTGCTACAAACAGCAGGTCAAAGTGAAAATTCAGGATTGCATTACTTGACTGTTTTCCTATTTGGTAAAGAAACCAAGCTCTTAACGGCTCAGATAGAGGAATCAAATTGCAACGAGGCCTGCCTGGCTATGGGGTGATCAAATGTGCTGTGTTTCCACATGGATATGTCTAAGATGGTCAGCATCCTTGATATGCCCCAAACATCAGATTTGTAATAGAAAAAAAATTGGGTTTAAACAATTTGTCTTTATTCTCAGGCAGTTCCCTATAGTAAATTAGGGGTATTTGGTTTCTGTTCATTCACAGTCTTGGTACTCAAACTGGTGTCTTCAGAAGCTGTTCCTCTATTGAAGCGTTTGTTGATAAAATAGGCAAAGGTTCACTTCTAAGTGTTAACAAGTTTTCTTCTTGTCTGATGACAAATTAGGAACTCACCTACTGCATTTTGAACAGTAGTTGTCTGGAACACATAAAGGATCACTGCCAAGTTTTTTGAGTTGCCAGTGTTTAAGTTTAAGCTAAGATTTTCATTTCCCTGAAGTTAATGAATGCATTTGAAATTAGATTTTTCTCTTATTATCAGAATGGCAGTGCTTGAAAGCACAATGCCAAATCGACTGGACATGGAAAGTGAAATACTACAGAAGTCACAACCTATTAAATAAAACATCAACACAATAAAATTCCTTTCATCTTCAGTTTATCACTAAAATTGATCAGTTACTAGACAGGTTTAAAAACTATCACACACCTCACCAATTTTATTTTGGTAGCATCCTCTGAAAAATCTTGATGCTACATCTGTAGCATAACTCCAAAATAATTGAGTTATATTTCATGAAACTAGCTTATGAAACTAGTAATAATTAACGCTGCTACTTACTCTCCAGGTGAGTCCCCATCACTCACTACCTGGAGTTTTCCGGTAGCTTTCTAACTGCCTCCAAGCACTCTTTGCTCCCATCTATCCTGCATGTCTCTAACACAGTATTCCCAAATATTGCTTTCTGTGAAACTCTTCTGTTTTAACTTGTCTACAGTGAAATTCCAGACTTCTTGATTTGACATCCAAGGCTTGCTCTCTTCAGTAGGCTCTTTCTTTCTGGCTACCATCTCATATTTTTCAGAGTCCTAGGTGAACTGACTTACCTCAAGTAAACCGGGTTTTTACCGTTTCCCAGTCAGCCATGCACCTTGCCCAGCCTCACTCTTGCTTCTTGCCCTTTCTATAGTTCCTTTGTCTCTGCCAATCTTAAGACCCAGTTTAAGTCTCTTCATCTTTTTGTGACTTCTTGTGGTGTAACTTGTTTATTATCTTTTTATGTGTTTGTCATATATTCCCAGTAAGAATGCGAGTCCCCTCAAGGGCAGGAACTATGCCATATATTTTTAAATTCCTTTCCACCTCGAAAGACTACATAGTAGGTGCTCAATAAGTAGCCGATGCCAACATTAATGGTGGTGCTTTAATAAGTAGAGAGCTACAGAAAATAATTTTTACTCTTAATTTGACAGAGAATTCAGTTAACACTCTACCTCCCTGCCTTTTTTTTTTTTAAGAAAAAATATCAGTCACGAAGGAAATATAGTTGCCTTCAGAAGCAGTTAAAGGCACCACTGCCACTTTCACAGCATCTAGCATTAGAAAACATCTCTCCAATTAAAAAAAGAAAGGTCATAGCTCACTGCAGCCTCAAACTCCTCAAGCAATCCTCCTGCCTCAGCCTCCTGAGTAGCTAGGACTATGGGTGTGCACCACCACACCTGGCTGATTTAAAAATTTTGTAGAGACAAGGTCTCACTATGTTGCCCAGGCTGGTCTCAAACTCCTGGGCTCCAGCCATCCTCCCTCTTCAGCCTCCCAAAGGGCTGGGATTACAGGTGTGGGCCACCAGGCCTGTAATGTTATGTTGCATTACATTAAATAATGCATGGATGGAGCAGTGTGGAAAAGAACTTGACAATGACTACATCTGTGACCTCCAGCCCTCTGGAGAAGTGCACTTTACATAGGACCACAGATGTCTTTGAGAAGTATTTGGATTGATAATCAGAAAGAAGCACTCTACCAAAAGATGAAGCAGGTATTTTGTACAGGCTAGGAGTTGCAATAGGCCTTTTCTACAGCCTTGCGAGGTCAGTATATATAGGCCCAAGCAAGGACTGTCCTTCTCTGACTACAGAATTGGAGCCTTTGAGAACCAAGGATTTGTGGACCAATACTCTAGGGTTCTCCCCAGTGGGCTGTTTCATCCCATAAGAAATAGTTTATCTGGGACCTGAAACTAGAACATCAGGGAAACCCTTTGAGCAGTGTTTTCTATAGCACCTCATGTCTCATTTCCTCACTGCCTTTAAGTCTTAACTAATACATCACCTCCATGAGGGCACTTGTAGAAAATGCAGATTCCTGGGCACCACTGCAGTCCCACTGTATTAGAATATCTGGAGGTGGGGTCCCGGAATCTGCATTTTTAAACTTTTAGGTTCGGGGTACATGTGCAGGGTTGTTATATGGTAAATTGTATGTCATGGGGGTTCGGTTTACAGATTATTTTGTCACCTAGGTAATAAGCCTAGGACCTGATAGGTAGTTTCCCAAAGGAATCTGCATTTTAATGCAGTCCTGCGAGTCATTTTCCCACTGAAATTTTAGAGATACCACCTATTAGACCAATAAATAGTACGATACAGTATGTAAGTTTCAGCACTCAGATTCTATTCATAGATTGGATTTTAAAACAGAATAAAGAACTCATTATCTTGAGATACAGAAAACAAATTGTTCGTTGAAACCCAGTGAGTATTTTTGTAGTCGTAATTATCTGTGACCTTTACTATCACACACAGTAAGATTCTGATTTAAGAATATACATATGCACATCATTACTCTATAAATTGGTAAAATTGACTGTATATTCCAGATAACCAATTGCATGCACTTAGAAAAATGACAGATTTTTCTGCATCAAGTTGTATCATAAAATTAGGTCTAGTTTTCAGATTAAACTTTTTCTTGAAACATCACCATTGATAACTTTCTGCCTGAGCCTAGAAAAATAATGCTTTTGGTAAGGCTGGGATTCTCTTATCCTGAAGGTTCATTTGGAGGTGTGAGAGCAGCATTATCAGCATCTGAGCAGCCTGGTATTTATAGTCTATGGGCCAGTGAGTCTCAGCTGGTGGGGATGGGTTGGGAGGAAAGGAAGGGAGAGGTACAGTTTTTCATATAGGGATATGGGTTAAAAGAAGGTTGAGAAAACTGATGGAGACCTATATATTTTAAGGGCATAAAATAGAAATTGATGTGTAACACTACAGCTGAGTTTTAAATATAGAACATAAAGGGGTGAATTTAGGCAATGCTAAAAGTATCTTCGTGGGAGACTGTCAGATGTTCAAAATAATCACAACTTTTATTCCCAAACCAAGTAACTTTAAAATCTGTTGTTTTCCAAGAGCTTAGTATACACATAATCTTTAATGTCATCTAAACTTGTTCCTTATCTACAAAACAGAGATTTTTATTCCTTCTTGCCTCATTCCCTGAATTAGTAGCAGTAAATGCTCTTCTTACCAAGAAAACGGAATGTGTTGGATTTCGTCTCATGTATGTAAGCCTATCTATCTGAAGATAGTAATAGGATCTACTGTAAAGGACTGTTGGTAGATACCATCTGTGCTTCTTTCTCTTCTCCTCATTATCACATTTTTCTTTTCAACTGGGACAAACCCTTCAGCATACAAACATGTTCTTATTTCTCCCATCTTTAAAGCAAAAGAAATCCTCTCTTGACGGTTCTAGCTATGCCCCAGTTTTCTGCTTCCCTTTCATAAAACTTCAAAGAGGAAACTTCTCCAGTTCCTCTCTTGCCACTCTTGATCAAACTAGGGCCCAGGCTTTTGCCCACACCACTGAACTGCTTGTGTCAGGATCACCAGTGACTTCCACATTGTCAAACAAAAGGTCCCTTCTCAGTCATCTTACTCTATCAAGTAGCATTTGACAGGCTGATCACGTCCTCCCATCTTAACTAGGCCTCAAAGACACAACATACTCCTGGTTTTCGTTTTTCTTCACTGGTAGTTTCTTCTTGGTCTCCTTGCTGATTCCCCATCTCCACTCCCCACCTTTTTTTCTTCTTTTTTCTTTTTTAAATTTTTTTATTTTAGAGATAGGATCTCTGTGTTGCCCAGGCTGGAGTGCAGTGGCTACTCACAGGCACGATCATAGCTCACTGTAACCTCGAACTCCTGGGCTCAAGTGATCCTTTCGCCTCAGCCTCCAGAGTAGCTGGTGCTACCAGGCCTGGCTTGTCCCCCTTCTTTTAACATTAGAATCCCCCAGGGCTCTCCTTTGCTTAGAGCTCTTCTTTTTCTAGTCTATACGCAGTTCCTTTGTGATTTTATCCAGTCTGCTAGCTTTAATATCTTTATGAAAGTGACTCCCAATTTACTCTCTGTAGTCTATTCTCCCAAACTCCAGACTAACATCTTCAACTGCCTCCTTGACATCTCTTAAGATGTCTAATATATTTATTGAACTTAGTGTGTCCAAGCCTGCTTCAGTCGTATGTTCCCCACCTCAGTTAATGGTAAATTTATCCTTCCAGTTGCTCTGGCAAAAACGTTGAAGTCATCTTTAACAATTCTGTTTTTCTTACACCTCACAGTCTATCAGCATATTGGCTGTCTTTCAAACATATCTAGGCCCTGACCTCTTCTTAGCACCTTCACTGCTATCACCCTGGTCCAAGCCATTTTCTATTGGGTAAGCCTCCCTGTTCCCACTATTTTATTCTCAACAGGGCAGCCAGAGTGCTCCTGTTAAAATGTGAATCAGATCTTGTCACTGGTTACTCTGCCACTAAGAAGTCAAAGTCATTACAAGGGCTTTTAAAGCCTTAAGTGAGCTCTGTCAAACCTCTGATGGCATCTCCTTCTATTCTGCCCACATTTATTCTTCTCCAGATACAAGCAGCATCACTCTTCCTCACATACCAAGTACGCTCCTCCTGCCTCTGGGCTTTTCACTGGCTGTTCCCTGTGACTTGACATAGTCTTCTCCCAGATTTATGCATGTCTTGTTCCCCCACCTCTTCCAAGTCTACTAATGTCATCTCTATGAGGCAGGCTTCTGACCATCCCATTTAAATTTCACCTCCCGTGGACTCCACATTCCCAGTCACCATATCCTTTTTTGTTCATAAGTGAAAACATTCGAATGTATAATATACTTATTTTATTATGCTTACTACTTTTAATATACTTATTTTATTATGCTTACTACTTTTTATTGTCTGCATCTCCTCACTAGATTATAAACCCCATGATGACATATACTTTTGCCTGTTTTGTTTATTGCCATATTCCTAGTATCAGAACTGTACTTGGAAGAATAAATATTTGTTGAATGCTGAATAGTCAGATGGGCCCTTATCAAATGCTTATAACCTAAGGTCACTCAGAACTAATTTAAGTGATGATAAACAGCAAAGGAAGTCATATAGTAAAGAGTCAAATTATGAGGGCTTCAGGATAAGCAACCAGCCTCTTAAAAGATACCTAAAAGCCAGTAAGCTTTGACAGTGCATCCCTCGTAACTTTAGTTAGCATTTACTAAGCACCTACTCTGTGAAAGACATGTGCTTTACACATATTACCTTTAAACCTCA